GGGATCCAGAAATTTTAAGCTTTGCTATACTAGGTGGGAGGGGAAATTGCTCATAATATGGTCTATCCTAAGGCTAAATAACCATTGTGACAAAACAGGGAAGAATTCAGAAATAAATATGGGATTAATATGGCATTAAGCCTCCAAGTGGTGGTGTGCACCTTTAATCTCAGCACTTGGGAAGCAGAGGCAGGCAGATCTCTGAATTTGAGGCCAGTCTGGTTTACACAATGAGTTCCAGAACAGCCAAGGCTACATAGTGACATAGTGAGATCCTGTTTCAAAAAAAGAAAAAAAAAGCCATTAACTTTTTTATTTTATGCCAACTATGTTTTTAGCTAGAGTTCTAAATGAAACAGAATTGAATTCTATTCAAATTCAGAAGACAGAAACATATAAATGAAGAAAATCTTAGCCTAAAAACTCTACTTTTGACTTCCAGTACTCAGCCTTAAAGAAATGATTAGATGTAAAGTAAAATGATTTTTTGAGTTATATATTGAGATAAATGCCTAATACTAGAAAACAATCTTCATTTATTTAGAGACAAGAGCTCATATATCCCAGAATGGTCTTGGGCTCACTATGTAGCCAAAAATGATCTTGAACATCTGATTCTCCTGCTTCCACTTTCTGAGTGCTGGGATTTCAGGTACATGCCACCAGTGCTGGGGACCAAACTCTGGGCTTCCTGCATGCAGGAAAGCACCCCACAACTCAGTTTTATGTCTAACCCTTAATTCAAAATTTGGAGACATAGTCTCATTATATAGCTCAGGTTGGCCCCAGACTCAAGAGTATTAGGATTACAGATGTATGCACTAACACCCGGTGGAAGAAAGTCTTAATACACTAATGGAGCTGGCAAGATGGTTCAACAGGTAAATATGCCTGCCTTTAAGTTTGATAACCTGAATTCAATCCCCATGACCCACATGCGGGAAGGACAGACTGACTTCCAGGAGTTGTCCTCTGACCTCCACATGTATATAAGTAAAATAAAATATATTAAAATTAAGATATCAGCCGGGCGTTGGTGGCGCACGCCTTTAATCCCAGCATTTGGGAGGCAGAGGCAGGCGGATCTCCGTGAGTTCGAGGCCAGCCTGGTCTACAGAGCGAGTTCCAGGACAGCCTCCAAAACAATGCAGAGAAACCCTGTCTTGAAAAACCAAAAAAAAAAAAAACAATAAAATAAAAAAAATAAAATTAAGATATCAAGCCATAAGGGTCAGGCATAGTGGTACATGTCTATAACCCCATTGTTTAGGAGGCTAATTCAGAAGATTACCCCAAATTCAAGGCAATCATGACTAAATAGTAAATTTGAGACCACACTGGGGTACAACATGAAACTCTGTTTCAAAGAACAAAGCAAAACAAAAGTAATTAATAAATAAGTACCTGAAAACTGGACATAGTAGCACAGTCTTGTAATCCCAGTATTTAGGAGATTGAGGCAAGAGGATTCTAAGTTCAAGACCAGCCCAAGCTATATAGTGAGTTTATGGTCAGGCTGGGCTATACAAAGAGAGTCTATCTCAAAATACAAGAAAAAAAATTAAGTAATAGAATATAATGGATAGCTGTTACTAGTTATCTATTGAAGAATGTTTAATGGGGGTGAACTCAATGATAGTATATTGTATCTGCTTAGCATATACTTGGGTTTATATTCAATAGTACTGAAAAAGAAGTTGTTTAATGAAATCTTACCGTGAACATGTAAATTTAACTATGTTAAGCAACACACACGCACACACACACACACACACACACACACACACACACACACACACACACACCAGATTTATATACAAATAAAAAGTTTGCTACTAGCTGGGCAGTGGTGGTGCATGCCTTTAATATCAGCACTCAGGAGGCAGAGGAAGGAGGATTTCTGTGAGTTTGAGACCAGCCTGGTCTACAAGAGCTAGACCAGGACAGGCTCCAAAGCTACACGGAGAAACCCTGTCTTGAAAAACCAAAACCAAGCTGGGCATTGGTGGCGCATGCCTTTAGTCCCAGAACTGGGGAGGCAGAGACAGGCGGATCTCTGTGAGTTCGAGGCCAGCCTGGTCTACAGAGTGAGTTCCAGGATAGCCTCTAAAATAATACAGAGAAACCCTGTCTGGAAAAACCAAAAAACAACAACAACAAAAACAAAACAAAACAAAACAAAAAAAAAACCGGGGGCTGGAGAGATGGCTCAGAGGTTAGCTGACTGCTCTTCCAGAGGTCTTGAGTTCAATTCCCAGCAACCACATGGTGGCTTACAACCATCTACAATTCAATCTGGTGTATATGTAATAAATAAATAAATCTTTAAAAAAAACAAAACCAAGAAACAAAAACAAAAAGTTTTCTACTAATGTTTTTATATAAATGATTATGTATATTCTAATTGCAGAAAATATAAGCAATGTTTACATGTAGGTGATAGGAGATATTTTTAATTTATTCCCCATACTTTTCTGTTTTCTTATTTTCTTTTTTGGCTATTTATTTATAATAAGTTTTTATTTAAATTAAAAACAATCTTATTATAATACCAATTCTAGTTCCCTCTCCCACCCACCCTCTGACAGCCCCTATCAACCACCCATCCCACCCCTGTTTTCCTATTTTCTACCATAAGTATATTACTAATTTTGTAATAAGGAAAAAAGCTTGAAGTTATTAAAAGTAAATAACATATACCAAAGGTAGCAAGTATATTTTTTGCACTTGCAATTTGGTGAGCCTGAAAAGTGAAAAATCTTACTAGCCTTTTTCTGGTTTCAGAAGTTATTCATTTAGGTAAATAATTCACTATACTGAGAACCTATGTGGAATAAATCTTCTAAGTACCAAATCACACTGGGCTGGAGAAGCACTTATATTTTAAGAAAAAAAGTCTGTGGTTACTAAACAAAACCACCAGATGCCACTATTGTTTCACCAGAAAGATTAAAATATCCACTATGACTTTTAATTAATTCAAATCATGCTTCTGCCCTTTCTTGATAATAATAAAGACCCCCCTTTTTTTGAGACAGGGTTTCTCTGTGTAGCCTTGGCTATCCTATAACTCACTGTGTAGATCAGGCTGGCCTGGAATGCAGAGATCTTGCCTGCCTCTACCTCCCGAATGCTGGGATTAAAGGTGTGTGCCACCACTGCCCGGCTGGTAACAATGAAGTCTTAAGAGAAGGTATAACCATATAAACAATTATATGCTTATATCCTAAAAGGTCAACCAGAAGTGATAAGAAAGTATAATTCCCACCAACTCCTGTATAGGAACTAATGGAGTTGGAATGGAGACAAAATATATATTGTTATCAAGGAAAAAAATCAGGGGCTGGCAAGATGGCTCAGTGGGTTTAGGCACTTGTTGCCAACCTGATGACCTGAGTTCGATTTCTGGGACCCCATTGTAGAAGAGAATCAACTCCTGTAAGCTGTCCTCTGACCTCTGCACCGTGCTGTAGTATACATGCACTCAACATACTAACAAAAAAATGTAATAAAACTTTTTTAAATTTAAAAAGTAATAGATTCAGACCACAAAAGCTGAATTTATATTTTTAAATACTCTATTAATAGTAGAATATTTTTGTGTGACAGGGTTTCTCTGTGTAGCTCTGTCTACAAATGTAGCTCTGGTGGCATATCCCTTTAAGCCCAGCACCAAGGAGCAGAGGCAGGCAGATTTCTCTGAGTTCTAGGCCAAGCTGGCCTACACAGCAAGTTCCAGGACATCCAGGGGCTACATAAAGAGACCCTGTCTCAAACAAAACAGAAACAAAAGTGTAATATTAACTTTGTAGAGTTAGTTATTTTACAGATTCATTATTACCGTGTTAATAACAAAGGTTAGATAAATTATTACATCTCTTTTGGAGTAAAGAAATCTTCCAGCTTCCTTGGCTGCTGAGACCATATTTAAATAAGACAGAGACTTGTTCCAGTAGCAAACAGTGTGCTAGCTGTGATGCTTCTGCACATGGCTCTTTTGACTCATATCTAATTTGGGGTTTGTCACCTATGAGAAGTAGACTGTGACAAGTCAGTTCATCCACTGAGTACTCATGTTTCTCATCTTTGAAATATAAAGGAGTAGGGTAAAAAAAAAAGCCTCCTATAGGTTTAGAAAACCTGCACCACAGGAGACATTTTCTATCCTTACATAGTGTGCTTTCCTGAGTCAGCACTTTGTAGGTATGAAAGTTGAGGGACGAAGGACTGTAGCACCCATGGGCAACATCATTTAGCATTATTGAGGTCTTCAATGTGCCAGACATAGTGTTAGGCTATAGGGATACAAAAATAGAAGATAGCATGATCTCTCCCGTCAAAGAATTTATAGTCAAATTGAGAAAGTTACAATGCAACGGGATGAAGGTAGTTTATCTGAAGAGCTGTGGCAATACAGGATAAAGTTGATGGCTTATCTTAAACATGTTTTTGGTCAGGCAGTTTCAGGGAATTCAGAATAATTCAGAGGAACTTTTGTGATTTGCCTAGACCTGCTTCAGGATGAAGCTTTTCCTGGGCTGTCCTTCAGTAGCTACACTGAATTTTGCCTCAAAGAGGCAAGGGATTTTCTAAAATACTCCTGGGTTTGATAACTAACATGAAAACGAGAAGCAAATTGCCTATAGCACAGTATAAAGATGGATTTGTGTGAGTGAGTATGTGTGTGTGATCCATCAGAAGAAATTCTCCTGCTATTTAGCATAGATACCGTGTTTTGTTCTCATTTTCTCTCTAAATTCCCTCTCCTCGTCAGTTATTTTCACTGACGCTTTCCTCTTCTGTGTTAAGACGCTGGGCTCAGCTTTTTCAAACCCTTCAGCGGCTTTAAACCCCTGCCGCCTCTGTGCCCTTGCCAATATGCCTTCATCGATCTGATACTCCCAATCCATGGCATCACGGGGCTGGAGAAGACATGAAAGAGCAAATGCCAGCCTCTGCCATCAGCCAATTTCAAAGGCCACAAATCCCCATCTGCTTACCAGACTCTCGGTAGTAAGCTCTGGCAAATCCTGGATGGTACAGCATGGGTAGTCCAGCACTGAAATGCTGCAAGATGCAGAGATGAGGACAAGCTTTAGGTAAATGGCAACAGCAGGAAATGGCTGCCTCTGAAAAGGGCAGGAATTATTCCTCCCCAGCAGACTCCATGTGCCTCTCAAATTGCTTAATGACCTCAGATGAAATTGAGGGCACTGGTACTGGGCAACTCCATCTCCAGTCTCATCTCAGTCACAGAGGAACCATGGAGTACCTTTAAGCTGTTCTTACTTGGTAGATGCAAAAAGAGTTAAAGCAGAAAAACAGCCCCTTTCCTTCTTAGCTGTCTTAGGTTCTTCAGGGAATATGTAAACATAAGTGTAGCAGCCTCTGCATTGAAGTGTGTATGTGAATATAATATTCTATAATATTATTCCCAGAGATGCCGCCCATACACATTCTACTAAATAATAATCTGGATTTGAAGATGAAAAGATCTGTTTCTCAACTGATCATTCTGAAAGTCAGGAACTCTGGGGGTAGCTGCCAATGCCACCCTAGAGAAATCTTGAGGCGCAGGGCAACTTCTTATAGCATGACAAATCAAACAGTAGCTCAAGAATGATATATAATAATGTCTGTCCCCAAATCAGTGGGAATTACAGGTAAGCCACAAGCTCTGCAGTGAGCCCAGGGAATGGGGCTTAGGTCAGGAGAGGAAATAAGGTACCACATAATAATAGGGACATAGTAAGTGGCTGTTTTTTCTTTCCTCTCCCCTTTACTAGTACGATGCAGAATCTGGGCTAGCTAATTTCTAATGCTCCTTCTGTTTCTAATAGTCAGTGAAATTTCAGCACCAATCTATCTGAACTGGTGCAGTTGGAGATAGGTAAATGCTGTCTGCAAAGCCAGGGCTATAAATTGAGTATGAGCATTCTTGGACCTGTCTCTACAATTTGAAAGTCAAAATTTCTAAAAGCAAATCACTCATTTAGCTAGAAATGTTACCACTGTTCAAGAAACCCAGGCTAAGAAAACTTAGATGAACCAACGTAGGAGAGAAAGGTCAGCTCAGGAGAGGGAAGTGAATTTACCTATAACATTGCACATCATGCTAATTAGCTGTTCTGGATTCTCTGGACTGCCCCGTTTAGGACATTCTTGGCTCATTCATCCACTTATCTACCTATCGCCCACTTATACAGAACCATTGAACTTACCTGGTTAGGAAATCACATGTTCAAAGGCAATGTACACCGGGCGTTGGTGGCACATGCCTTTAATCCCAGCACTCGGGAGGCAGAGGCAGGTGGATCTCTGTGAGTTCAAGGCCAGCCTGGTCTACAAAGTGAGTTCCAGGATAGCCTCCAACGCCACAGAGAAACCCTGTCTCAAAAAAAAAAAAAAAAAAAAAAAAAACCAAAAACAGGCAATGTACATGCAACGTTGTCACTCCATGGTAGAATTTCCAACAATACTGACTGACTTATGAGATTCCCTCTCTAGTCACCCCAAGTAAGACATCAGTCGTTGTCTATTTAGGAACTCTGGTAAGTAATTCTGGCAAACTCTAGTGACTAACATATTATACCAGTTCTTGTGGAAGCAAATTAAAGAATAAGGATCTGCCTTACAATCCCCCAGTCCCAGACTGACTGGAGGAATAGAAAGCAATTGGAATTCATGAAAAGTCTGTGTTCTTATTTAAAAGGTTAATCATGTTAATCTTGTTTGTATGGTATATAGTATGTAGGCATGCATATGTATGTGTGCAGATGGACATGCCCGTGTGTATGCATGCATGTGGAGGCCACAGGTTGATGTCAAGTATCTTCCTCAATTATTCTCAACTTACTGTTTCGAGACAGGGTCTCTCATTAAACATGAAGCTCAATGATTTGTCTATGTTGATTGGCCAGTGAGCTTCATAGATCTATCTGTTTCCACCTTCCAAGTGCTGCAATTATAGATGTATACTGCCACACCCAACTTTTTATATGGGCTATAGGGATCAGCACCCGAGTCCTCATGCTTGTGTGACCCTTTATTGACTGATCTATCTTTGAAGGTTCAGAATCTTGATATTCTTGAGAAAACCAATTCACCTCTCTGACTTTGTCTCCTAACTGGCAAGATGAGAACAAAACTTGTACTGCCTCTTAGCATTGCCAAGATTAAGTGGAATTATGAATGTAAAATCATCATACTTTGGACCGGCAAGATAGCTCAGCTCCTAATGGCAACACTGACAACCTGAGTTTGATCCCCAGGACACTCAGAGTGAAGAAGAGAACCTATTCCTGCAAGTTGTCTTCTGATCTCTACACCCGGGCCTTGGCATGTGTGCACCCATATACATGCAGGAACGTAAAAGTTTAAAAAACAACAAGTAGATGTCTATTGTTCACCTCTGACTACAGAGTTTGAACCTCCCTGGTGGTCTGCAGCGCTCTCATCGTTATGAATTTTGTATAATACTTTCTGTTTGCAAAGCAGTGTAAGTGTCCCAGTCACTGCAGCTCACGATCTCTTCTAAGAGCGGAGCTGCTCAGACAAAAGGGCTGCCGCTCAACACAAAGTCTCCTAGGTTCTTTCATCACAGACACTTCATCTTGTAGCTTCATTTCAAAATATTCTTCAGGCTTGAAATTTTTTAATATAGAAAATCTACACAAAGAGGAAAACTCACAATTCCCATCAATTAATACTTCAAGAAAATTGAATCTAACAGGGAAAGCTCTAAGAAAGGAGGGACTAGGGTCACCAGAAGAAATGGAAGGTGCAGGCATGGAGGAACTTTCTTAAGCATCCCAAGTCTGTTCAGAATCCATACCTGTTTTTGGCAGTAATATAGGACAGGATATTTTGATTGAAGAACTTCAGGATCAAGGGGATACAGTTGGCAAATACTAAATGTTGTGACACATATTCAAACTGAATTAAAAGATCAAAGCAGAAAAAATTGCTTATTTGGAGGAAGATACAAAGCATGCATGAAAAAAGACAGGGAAATGCAAATATAACATCTATTCCCAGGAATATTGCTGTCTATTGTTATCAATCTGTCAGTCTCTGAAATGGGGGCACTCATCCTCAGCCAGTCTTTATCAGTCTCTGAAATGGGGACACTCATCCTCAGCCAGTCTTTATCAGTCTGTCAGTCTCTGAAATGGGGGCACTCATCCTCAGCCAGTCTTTATCAGTCTGTCAGTCTCTGAATTGGGGGCACTCATCCTCAGCCAGTCTATCTTTCATGCAGAATGATCTGCAGTGGATGTTATAAGTTCTTGATCAAAAACACATATTAAACACACTAAAATGAAAAGATACCGGTTGGGCATTGGTGGCACATGCCTTTAATCCCAGCACTCGGGAGGCAGAGGCAGGTGGATCTCTGTGAGTTCTAGGTCAGCCTGGTCTATAGAGCCAGTGCCAGGATAGGCTACAAAGTTACACAAAGAAATCCTGTCTTGAAAAAACAAAAATCAAAACAAAAGAAAAAGAAAACAAACCTCAAATAAATGGCAAGGATTGCTGTGAGTTTTGCTTCTAAGCTCAGTGGGAAAGGAAGTCTCCCTGAGGGAGCTGGTTTCCATACCAAACCTCTGGCTCATAGTGTTTCAGCTGTGATTGACATAAAAGGGACAGGTGCAACTAACTCTTAACAACTGCTGGCATCAGGCTGGAGACAGCACACAGTAACCACTGGAATGTAGCTTTCAGTAGACTGTCCAGAATATGATGCTATCCCTAATACTTAGAACATCAGGGTATCAACGAATGAGTTAGTCACCCTGGATTTTGTTTACTGTGCACTGAGAGGCACCAAGAAAAAACTGCCCCCAAATTAGGAGCTTAGAATGCTGGGACAGTATAGAAACAAGGTTGAAAAGGCAGAGAACTATGGGTTCTCTGTGTCATCACATGACATGTATCCATGTCAGAAAGGCAAGCTGCTTTCTGATCCTGAGTATGTGGTTAGAGATGGGGAGTCAGCTTGTGCCTTAACCACTTCTCTCTTCTACTTGATATTTTCTCCCTGGAAGTCAACCAAAGGTACTTTCTGAAACCCCAGACAAAGAAGCCAGTACATACCTACTAACAAAAGATGGGAAGTTTTTAAAATTTGAGCCATGCCCAGGCTCTTTCAGGCCTCACCCACATTGACATACACTGTGGCAAGGCCCATCAGGACATCCATCCGTCTGGCTGTAGATTTATCTACTGCCCACCAAGAGGGACGTTGAGAAACACACATTCTAGGGAAGAGGGAGTAGTGTCTCCTAACCACTCTGCTGTTTTCAATGCGGATGCTGTCAGCAAACACATGGCCACAGACCTTTCAGGGCTCTCCCTGTACACTGATGACTGACTCTTACATCAGGCTTTATTTTGAGTGCTTAGGTGGAAAATGGGGTAAAGCCTCAGGGCAGAAACGAGATGGCTTTCAATTCCCAAGCTCTCCCTAAAGAAGAAGGGTCTATTTACTTGTCCTCATTTTGTCCCTGGATCTTGGCAATGCCCACAGGCCCAAGGCCAACAATGTTTCTACTGGAAAGCAAAGCAAGGTCTTGGCTTTTAACTCTAGTCTCCTCACCTACAAAATAGGGATAGTCTGGAGCACTCAGGAGGCAGAGGCAAGCGAAACTCTGAGTTCAAGGCCAGCCTGGTCTACATAGTGAGTTCCAGGACAGCCAGGGCTACAAAGTGAGACCTGTCTCAGAACAACAACAAAACTAAAAATGAGCAAGAAAACAAACAACCCCCCAGGTCCTCCTCAAAACAAAACAAAATAAAAACAAAAAACCCCAAACAAACAGGAATAAAATAAGGCCTCCTAGGGGTGGGAAGCTCACAGAAACTTTGTAGGATGTCAAGCACATCATGGGTACTCCATAATTGTGTGCTATCAGATATATGATACCTGCTAACCACTGTGGCTTCATGCATTACCAGAACATCTAATCATCCCCACTCTAGGGCAGAACTCCAGCAACATTTAATTAGTTTCCAAAAATATACTGCTCTTTCTCCTCTGGGTTTTCACATATTAGCTTTTCTTCTTGAATTGGTTCTTATTCTTCCCTGATAACGCCCATTTCCTTGATAACATTTCCCCCCCCCCTCTGGGACTCAGATTAAAAGTCACCTCTTTTCTGGAATTGGTATTTCTATAATACCCAATGCCTACTATGTCACACCACTCTACAATGGGACAGTTATGTATCTGTTACAAGACTGTAAGGCCTGTAAGAGCCTGAACTGTGCCTCATTTAGAATTATATCTCAAATGTCAAAAAAGTGCTTCACATACAGAAAAGCACGGCTAATACGCCCAGTGACATTTCTGGAATGGTTGAACTGATTCTGACTGACTAGGAGTATTCTTAAGAATCCCTAGCTAACTTACAAAGACCTGGAGCTAACTTACAAAGAGCACAGAGTTTTGCATCTTGCTAGGATGGCTCCCACACTCCACTTCATGTCCTCGCCATATACTCGTGCAACAGATGGCTGGGCTTTCTAATAGGGGCAAGGGGAAGGGTGAACAATGCTCAGCAGTACAAGGGTTCTTGTGCTGCCTCTCTAGGCCATGTGGAATACTTGAAGCTTGTGACACAGCTCTCCTACCTGCTCACCTGGTAGATATGGTTGAGTTTGAAGTGTTTGAGAAGTAGAAGGAGCAGGGCAGAGATACTTTTTACGATGATCTCTTTGTGTCTGTTCACGTCAATGCCTAGCTTCATGCTCTGGAGAACAGTTACACTACAAGGGAGAGAGGAACCATCAGTATAAATGTGATGATGGAGGGAGGCCTAGAAGGAAAAACCCAAGTATTTTGGCTAGATATGATATATACATATACATATACATATACATATACATACACATACATACACATACACATACACATACACATATACATATACATGGGTCAGAACTTAGGAAACTTGAACTTCTGTGCTAGGAAAACCTCTGGAGTTCCCATTTAGGAATCTGTCCAAGAAAAAGCTTCCATGATTTCTTTGTTGACATGTCCTCTCTCTGGCAAACTTGCCAATTGGCACTGACTACCAATACATGTGGCAGCTAGTCACTAGCACTGAGGTTATCTTTTGGACCTAGATCTGAGTTACACAGAGCTCACTCAGTAGAAGGCCCTGCAGGGGACAGGAGGTACATGCAGAAAAGGAGAGATTTATCTGAAGGCAACAGAGCGAGGTGGGACAGAGAGGCCCTGAAGACAAGACACTAGTGTCTACAGCTGCCCCGTGGAAGCACTCACGGCATTTCTTCAGGCAGGACGTCTGCTAGAATATTGATAGAATCTGTCTTAGCCTTGGAGGTGGGGGCTGCAGCCAGTAGAATCTTAAGCAGAGCAATCTGGGAGATAGAAAAAGAAGAAACCCACCTTTGTCTATCCCACTCAGCAAGATAGAGGTTCTTTCAAACCTCTTTAGCCCGGTGAAAAGTATTTCAAAGCCTTCAAGACTTTCCTTCAGTAACTAAGCCTTGCCAGCATATAGGAATGCAAACAAGTATTTATCCTGAGGCTTATCTGTGAGGCCAAGGAGGAAAGCCAAAGCAAGCTTCTAGGCTATTTTGCTTCAGCACTGCTTCTTCTAAGGGAGCATAGAAAGAACAAAGTGGGGGGCTGGAGAGATGGCTCAGAGGTTAAGAGCACTGCCTGCTCTTCCAGAGGTCTTGAGTTCAATTCCCAGCAACCACATGGTGGCTCACAACCATCTACAATCTGGTGTATATGTGATAAATAAATAAATCTTTGAAAAAAAAAAAAGAAAGAACAAAGTGGGAAGGGCAATGCAGAGAAATAAGTGGCGGAAATAAACCTGACGTTCCTATCTAGAGGCTACCAAAGACATGGCAGACAATGGCAGAACTCATGATAGTGGTAATTAGCTAGGAGAAAGAGCCCTGATGCGTCGTAGGTAGACCTTACTTTATTCTGCATCCCTGACCCTGTAAGAAAGGCTAGTGAGAATGGCATCTTCAGAGGAGCCACAGGGAAAGTTCAGAATTCTCTATTCCTCTAAGTAGGAGAGGGCAGCTCTGGCCCAACCTGCGCCTTACCATGTACTGTGGAAGGCTGTACAGCATGCCCTGGTAGAGGATTTCACATGGTGTTTCTGGTACCACCTCTTCTCCCTGTGGCAGAAAGCACAGTTTACCCAGGCTACTTTCCAGGTTACTAAAGTACATGCTGTTGGTTGGTGAGGGTAGCACGGACAGAGAACTGCACTGGGAGTCAGCCCTAGCATACATCCTAACTGTGGCAATGATTCAGGATATGGTTTTAGATGAATGACCATTCCTCTTTAGGCTCTAGTTTTTTGGTTTGAGCTTGTTTAGATGATTTTTGATGTCTTTTTTTCCAGTCCCAACAATTGCTGAGTCTAGTTTTCCTGTTATCTGCAAGTCACATGTTATCTTTCCAAGTCACATGCTCATTCAGGAGTTAGCACTCCAACCTAAAAATTACCTTTGGTACACATTCACAAAATCACTCTAGATACACATGGGGTTAACCTAGGCTATAAATACACCTGATATGTTAAGATACCATACACAGAGGCACTTGGTTGATCGCTGATTAACACTGTTTTGAGATGAACTAATGCCTCCCCTGTTTGTTTGGTCCAATCTTTGCTTAGTAGCTAGTGTTTCATAAAACCAAAGATCAAAATCTTTCCTCTGCTTAAAATCTCTGAAGGTTTCCCTTTGTGCTTCAAGTTCCCTCCCTCTGCTAACAGGCCCTACTTAATGTGTCCCCAGGCCACTTGTCTGAGGTCACCTCCACAACCCCATCTCTTGCCCATGCGTTGTTACAACAACCTTCTTTTGCTGTCTCTCTCTGTGCCTGCCTCTTTTAACCTGTTTCTACTTGCAATGTTTTCTTCTCAGATGTTCCTATGGCTGGCTGCTTTCCATACTTCAGATCTTGGTTAAATGTCACCTTCTTAGATAGCTCATCTATCCCAACTGCCCAATCCAAAATAGTTGACAGATAGTTTCATGATGTTATCCTATTTAAACTATCTTCACGGGACCTACCATTCTGTGATGCTCTTGTTTAGTTGTTTAACTAACTGCTTTCCCCAACTTTAATGTAGTGTGCAGCCTTTGTCTTATACTACACACAATAAGAGCTTAACAAGCTGAATCAGTGCACATACAATGTATGTATGCTCTTCGACAGCATTGCAGGAAGAGTTCATTCTTCCCCCTTCTGTGTGCTGGGGTCCTTGACTTACCAAAGACATGGGGCATTTCTCCAGCTCCTCTTCATTCTTGATCTGTATATCTGCAATGGAGATATACTTGTGCTGGCAAAGATAAGAAAACATTAACAAGGGTTGAGAACCTAATTCACATGTGTCCCAGCCCCCCCCCTTTTTTTTTGTTTTTCGAGACAGGGTTTCTGTGTATTGTTTTGGAGGCTGTCCTGGAACTCACTCTATAGACCAGGCTGACCTTGAACTCACAGAGCTCTGCTTGCCTCTGCCTCCCGAGTGCTGGAACTAAAGGCAATCACTACCAATGCCCGGCTCTAGCCCTTTCTTTAACTTTCCTTGTTCATAAGGAAATGTTCCATGGGTTTAATATCCCAAACAGACACAAAACATTTGGAAGCAAGAATCTTATTCTCTTCTGCATAATTAGCACTGAGTAGTATTTCATAAACAATGCTGCTGTGTATTACATTCCATATTTGTTGGATACTAGCAAATACCTAGTCGTTTACTTTTAAAGTGCAGGGGAAGGCCAAGAATAGACCTTTACCCAGACAGGTTTGATGTACTTTCATGTATGTATGGAGTGATGACTCCACATTCTTTGTGTTTAATATAACTGTATATAAAGATGATTCCTACATAATCTTTGGCCTTTAGAAGCCAGTGGACCGATGGGGAGAGAAATAAAAGGAAAGGAAACAATGGGAAAGGAGAGAGAAGGATAGAAGGAGGGAAAAGGGACAAGAGAAAGGTATTGTTTTCTCACTGATTTGAATGTAGGAAATTGGGTAAATAGAGGGAGACCTGACTTTTCCTATTTGGCTAAAAGGTCTAAAGTGGGGATGCAGAAGGTCCTGAATGTATCTGAAGATGACCTCTGCTCAGCATGCAAGGTAGTGGTAATTTGACTTAATTGATGGCTCCCTATCCCTGAGGAATGAAAGCCCACCCTGGTCACCTGCTTTAGCGTCTTCACACTCTCATGGATGGGTCGAGGTAATCCAACCAAGGTATCTGTGTCCCTGTAAGAGTCCCAAACACCAAACCATGAGCTTAGCAGATGAGAAAACTACCCATACACTCTGGGATCACAGGGACCACATACTTCAAGCATCTACCCCTGGTATCCTATACCTTCTTCTTCGTTTTTTTTTTTTTTTTTTTTTTTTTGAGGCAGGGTTTCTCTGTAACTTTGGAACCTGTTGTGGAACTCACTCTGGCCTTGAACTCACAGAGATCTCCCTGTCTTTTGCCTCCTGAGTGCTGGGACTAAAGGTGTGCACCACCACTGCCCGGCCCTATACGATTTTATATAAGGTTCCAGGTCCATCATCTTGCTTGAAGTCACAAAAATAACAATGACACACAGAAGCATTTCTGAAAATTAGCTTTATATCATATAGCCTCTTAGTAATTCACTTGGCCTGCAGGTGACAAATTCCCACTTAAAGGAATATGTAGCCTAATGATAACTTTGACAATGAAATCCCTTCTAGCTTTATAAAGGCTAGTAAGGAAGATTCATGGCCTTCTGTGATGTTTTATATTTAGTTTTTAATATCTAGTCACTTACTGCCCCAGGGTGAATCCAATGAACTTATTTCTGCTCATCTCCAAGAAGTGTTCAATGTCCTTCTGTCTGAGATGATGATGGTGAATAAACCAATACCAGAGAGAGGAAGAAAACAAAACAACCTTGAGAAAGAGGACTTTTCAGAGCTCCTGATCCTTCATTTTGGAAGGACTAGAGCAGTGGAAGAAGACAGAAATCAACAGAACGTCAAACCCAGGTGTTCTGATTACCACGCCAGGTTAATGAACACTGAATATGCATGCTAGTCCACCTGGCTCTTCAGTAATTGGAATCCCAACGCTCAGGATCACTAGTGCCATTAAACCTACCTGACTTTTGGGGCCCAGGGAAGGCCCTTGGGAAAGGCTACCCGGTCAGTAGAGAGAGGTGTCTGTGAGGGTGGAGGTGGCACCAGAGGATCCTGTTCTAGTAGGTCTAACTCTCCATCCAAGGCTCGTTCTCCATCAGCTGCAGACTCTTCTTCTTCCTCTGTGGCTGGTTCCTCAGTCTTGAAGAGATCCCTTTCATTGTAGATGTCCAGGCTGTCTTGCTTGGTGAGGAGTTGCTGGTAGTGGTGAGAGAGAGGAAATTATAGAGCTTGTGGCAACCTTGTCTGAAGTCACTCTCTTTAGACTTCAGGAAACATGACGTTGAAACCCATCTGCTATGAGAACATTCCATTATCCAGCTCAGTCTTACAACTCACTGGACTCAATCACAGGACAAGCAGCTCCCAGGAAAAATGGCCATGACCAGGAAACAGAGCACAGATAGTACCAGTGTGATAGCTTCCAGAAGCACTGGTGTTCCACACTCCCCACCTTCCCAGAATTTTCCTTCCTAATTATGCTCTGCTTAGGTGAACATTCAATTAGTTTGCTTTCTGTCAGCATTCACCAGCTGGCTGACTGAGGAAGAAGATGACAGAAACTTGCTGCCAGGCAGAGGAAAGTGAGTTTAGAATGTTAAATCTCATTGCATAAAGGAAAAAAAAAAGCCATGACAGAAATAGGCCAAAAAGTTAATAGTCACTGCCTCTGGTTGTTAAGCTTGTGGGTGATTTTTCTCTCTTCATCACATTTTTACATTTGTTCCAAATTTTCTACAATGAGTAAGCATTACTTTATGAAACAAAAGAGAAAGGTTTTTGAAAAAGTCATTCTGCTTATAATTTAGACTGGATTGTGTGACCCTGTCACCTTTAATTGGTAAACTCTGGTAAGTCAGGCAGGTGAGCTCATGAAAAATGTGGCTATGGCTCAGTTATTTAGAACTTCTCAATAATATACACCACCTAGAATCCTAACCAGCCATCTCACAAATGTAAGCTTGTGGTCCAAGGGCATATGGAGTATGGTGGCTCAAAATAAAATTTCTTGCTGCCAAGAAAATGGTAAGAGATTCATGACAGACATGCAGATTTGCTAGGTGCTCTTTTCAGGGTACCTACTCTCAGAATTCTAACGTAACCCATATTTAGGAGGCTAAGCAACCCTAGTCACTGAGGTCCAGACAAGAATACATGGTCAGGCATCAAAATACAGATTCTAAGGATTCATGCCGGCTACAGGGCCAACCTGGGATGGCCATTTACCACCCTTTCCTATCGCATCCACGGCATCTGAGAATCTTGATTTTTGACCGCTCAATACCCACCCCAACACTTCCATATGCTTGATCCATACCCTTCGAGAACCACGGCGGCCCCGCAGCTTGGAGGGTGGAGGGGCCAGCTGAGACTCCCCCAGATCAAGGGTGCAAGAAGGTGGGGATGCAGCGCGCATACTCTTCACGACCTGGATACTGTCCTCAGCTAGAGGAGGCAGGCCCAGCTCTGCACGCTTCTGTATTTTGAGAGCCTGCAGATGCTCAAATCCACCAAGGGTAAACTAAAGAGTAAAAAGGAAAAGGGAGGTTATCCAGTAGCCACTGGTGAGCCCTGAGCATGTTACACTTATGTATTTATAAACACACACACACACACACACACACACACACACACACACACACGTATGTAACAATAACTAAAGAAAAAGAGGCTATGGATTTCAGAGAGAATAAGGAGTTAAAGAGAGGAAAGGGAAAGGGGAAGATGTGTAATTATATTGTAATTTCAAAGAAAGTTATAAAAAGGAGGAAGAGAAGAGAGGGGAGGGAGGCAATCATAGAGAACAAAGGCAGAGAAACATGGACAGAAGAACCACAGCTCCCAATTCCCTCATACTGCCTCTTGTACAGGGAAGCAGAAAAACATGAAGAAACATTTTACCACTTCAGTCTGAGGATCTCTAGGGTAAGAATAAAACAGCATTACTTATTGACCCGGGGCTGGAGACAGCAGTAAATATTAGAAGGGGGGCTCCACTGGAAAATTTTTAAAAATTGGGGACAATCCTTCCTTTGTTTTGTTTCTTGAGCAGGCTCTCAATGTGTAAACCCAAGCTGGCCTTAAACCTTCAAACTTCATGCATGTCGGCCGAGTACTAGTTTTACAACCATGTCCCACTATCCTTGGCACAATCAATTTTAAGGAGCACATTCAGATATTATGATGTCCTAGAGTCACATAGTTTCCTCTGTGATCAAGAGGTGGTTCACCCTATGAGGCCTACTAAGAGGGTATGTTGTTCCTCCAGCCCTATGGGCTGGGAGCCAGAGGGAGACTATGGGATGAAGGATCAGATTAAATACTAAATACAAATTATCAACTATATACTTGAAAGGACACCCATTCTCTACTGGAAGAAAAGGTATGCATTAATCTTAACATTTCATAGCTACAGAATTGTACAAGTACAGAATTGTCCAAGGTTCATTGGTATGGACAGAGTCAGATTCCCAATGGTCAGCTAAGGTTCTTTCTACGAAACATAAGTTCTTTTAGGGAGAAGGTGCCTTGACATCTTCAACTCATAGAGTGCCATCCCATGGATCCATCCAATAGAAACAGAAACCTGATGATACAGAGTATTTGAGGACTCTGGGTGGGTCTTTTGCTCCTCTCAGTTAGCTGGGGCTAACAGCTAGTCAGTTCTGCTGCCTAGCTCTGATCAGTGAGATGGGAATGGAGACCAGCCACTCACCATAACCACCTTCCAGAGCAGAAGCAGAACCTTCTTTATTGGAAAGTGAGGGGCCAGACCACTGCAGAATTTGGTAACCATGGAAAAGAGCAGGAGGGCAAAAGGCTCTTCATTATGCGTGGAAAAGCCTGAGGTATAAAGAGAATCAGAGAGAGAGAGATGAAGTGGCAAAATCCCAGGGTCTGGGCACACTGAGGAAGGCACTCACCTCCCCTGAAAACTCCCAGAGCACTTTGTCTTGGAAGGAGGTATAGTGAGCCCCCAGAGGCAATTCCCTTAAAGGACAGGACTGAGGATATTGTGGTAAAATAGTGTGCCCCACCCTAGAGGTTATTACGATAATGCTTTGAGGGTCATACCAAATAGGAAGTAACAGTCATGATGTGACTTTCTAGCTGAGGGAATCAAGGCATTTCGTGGACCACACTTTAGTCTTTACTTATTTACATTAATAAATACATTTTAAAATGCTTACACATCCTATCCCTCTCAGATAATTACTTCAACTTACATTAGAACAAGGTTCCTTTTTTAAGGCAATTCAGCTCTTTTCCCCCCAATATGGGATTCATGATGAAATGGGAGAGGAACGGTTATCCTCATTTCTAACCAGGGGAACTAAGATACATGGGGTGCAATAAAACCCAGCCCCCATGTTCCATGAAACATGTCTGTCTTAAAAAAGAAAAGATGCTAATTTTAAAAAGAAAAAGAGGCCAGGCATCGGTGGCACACGCCTTTAATCCCAGCACTCTGTGAGTTCAAGGCTAGCCTGGTCTACAGAGCGAGTTCCAGGACAGCCTTTAAAACAATACAGAGAAACCCTGTCTCGAAAAACAAGAAGAAGAAGAAGAAGAAGAAGAAGAAGAAGAAGAAGAAGAAGAAGAAGAAGAAGAAGAAGAAGAAGAAGAAGAGGAAGAGGAAGAGGAAGAGGAAGAGGAAGAAGAAGAAGAAGAAGAAGAAGAAGAAGAAGAAGAAGAAGAAGAAGAAGAAGAAGAAGAAGAAGAAGAAGAAGAAGAGGGAAAAAAGAGAACAAGACAGCACTGCTTCCCACCACCCTCAGTACTCCGCCCGGCCCTCCTCGAGCGCCACTTCTTACTTAGCTCAGTCCGGAAGGTCTCTCGGGCTGTCCTCCACCCATAGGGGTCTATTTCTCGCTCCAGGCGGATATTTTCCACCATTAGATACATGACACTCAGCAGCACCCTAGAAGGTACAGAAGGACACTAGGAGATTCCCAAGGTAGTTCCCAGACTATAGTCACAGACTTGAAGGATGACATCGATCGGGTAAGATTAGTTAAAAGTTAACTTCTCACTCACCTGGGATTGGGAAGAGGGTAACCCGGGCTAATCACCCCTCTGCCCGAAGCCCCTGCTCACCCTCACTCACCGGAGCTCAGTGCTGTCAGCAATGGAGACGGCTGGCTTCCTAAGGGCACTACTAGAGGCTTGGCTGTTGCTGCCATGGAATGAAAGAATAGGAACCCATAAGGCCTCTTTCCTCTCCGTGTTCCCACTCACCCTTCACGCAAATGCCTGCCATTCCTGGTTATACATCCACAATGAAACTGATCTAAGGTACAGGAACCCATAGGATTCCCTCGCTCCCTCAGTAAATCCTCATCTGTGGTGAAGACAGGGAAGAGATACGGTCTGTGATATCAGTTTCTCTTGCGATCCCCCACAATGCTTACCAGGATGCTGGACACAAAACAGATACTAAGCAAGACCTGATAAATAATAAACAGACTTCAGTGTATCTAAAACTCCTGGATGGCAGGTGTAAGAGAAGGAGGACCCAGTGTGGTAGCAGCAGCAGATGGGCCACCTCTACGGTTACAAGCCATGAGGGAAATAATTAGGCACATTGACAGAAACTAGTCCGTTCCTCTTGTGTTGTGTTTGTGATGGAAAAGGTTTCCTACATGAATTCCAGAGTTAGGTTCAGCTGAAAATGTGCTTAGATTAAAAGGGTAACCTGTGAAGCCCAGGACTGTAGCTGCTGCTTAGTCCAACCTCAGAGAGGAAGAACATAGTTTCTGGAAAGAAAGTTGTAGGGGAAAACGGTCAGTGAGCTTTGAGTGGAGATGTGAGTTGACTCAACTCCGGTAGGGAAATCTACTGAGGAAATCCACAGCTGTGAGTCCTTGCTTCAAGACGGTTCCTAAGCCAGCCCTCCCCTGAGGCTTCTCACTCGATTTCCATGTGGAGTAGCTCCAGGAAGGCGGAGAAGGTCCCCATCTGGTAGAGCAGGAAGCAGTTGTATCTGGACCAGTGCAGCACATCCACCTCTGAATCACATTCCCCAAATGTGCCTAGAGGATCAGACAGTTGCAGTAGGAGTTGGGAGGGGGCAGCTACCCCACTTCTTTCAACCCTGCCACAAGGTCTTAGAATTTTCCTAATGCTTCACTCACTAATGAGGCTCCCAGAATTTGGACTGGGCCCATGAGAACTTCCTTAAATGAGTGAGTCAGTGGAGAAAAGTCCATCTTAAATCCCCCCAGCAGTAGATCCTGAGATAAGGGTTCAAATGCAAATTGTCTCCTTGGGAATGGATCTTCAGGAATCACCAGAAGAGAAATAGGGGAAGTGAGAGAGGGAAGTGAGGCAGCTGAAAGAGTTCACTCCCAGGGGACTTTCTAGAAATAGTACAAAACACACAACTCAGAGTTAGCTCACCCAAGAGTGAGATAAGCAAAATTATCTTCTTAGTCATTTTTGAGGACTGAGTGTATTAATTCTCCCCACTTCCTGACTGCCCAGTGTGGACTGCAGACAGAGCCTTAAGCAAAGGGATTTTTGTGTTGGCAGCTGGAAATTGGCTAAAGGGTAGACCTAAGTGATTCAGGCGTACCTTATTTACTGCAATCTTCCCTTTCCTAGTGTTTTCTTCCTATTTACTATTGTTCTTCTTTTTTTTTAACAACTTTTTAATTCCCAGTCTGTTGGTTTGCCAGCAATCCTCACATGCATGATCTCAGAGCTTATTATTATTACTCTAGCAAGATTATCTCAGTGTCCCTTCCAACACCTGGCTAACAGGTTCCTTCTGAGAAGCTTTCCCCAGTTAATCTCATTTAGTTCTGGTTATCTCCAAATTATTCCCAGCATTTCCTCCTGCTGCTGTGTTGGCTTGAATCTTCAAAATGCCAATGAGAAACGTCAGTGCTGGTGCCAGGGCACAGCTGACGAAAGCAATATCTGTGATAACTCTGTGGGTGGTATATCATCAGCTCTCTCTACGTGGACTCTCTTGTCTATTTTCATAACACTTATAGCCCAGATTAGAAGGGGGGGAGCCATGTAAGAAGTCCCGACATGCATAGGGTATGATGGCTTATGTCTATAATCCTAATTTAGGAGGTAGAGGCAGGAGGAACAAGAGTTCAGTCACTCTCAGAGAAAAAGAAACAAAAGAAAAGAAAAGAGAGCCAGGCATAGTAGCACACACATCTTGAATCCTAGCATTTGTGAGGCAGAGGCAGATAGGCAGATAGGCAGAGAGGCAGAGGCAGTTGAATCTCTGTGAGTTCGAGACTAGCCAGAGCTACAAAGTGAGACCCTGTTTTTAAAAAAAAGAAAAGAGAAAAAAAAAAAAAAGGGAAGAACCTGATGTGCTTGGTAAGACAGAGGCAGATCCCAAGAGATCCAGAACAGTATCCAGTACTATCTCTTGATCTCCTTACAAGAACAGTCTACTCCTAGCATGACAAGACCCGTCTTTGAGATGTAAGGCACCCTGCTTTTCCAATAAGGTCTGCTTTGTCCACTTCCCTCCCTAGTTTTAACCCCGATTAAATAAGCGAAAATGGCCACTTACCTTGGGCTAGATAGAGAACAGCCCGGGCCACCTTAAGCCGTTGCTCCCTACTGACCACCTCCAGTCGGTCCAGAAGTCCCATCACATAAGTCTTTTGGGCATCTTCTTCCAACTCCAGCCATTCCTTGGTGTCTTGCACTAGGGATACAAAGCCATACACAGCCAATTCTGGCTTCTGCTACTTCTTCTTGGAAAGGCCCCTGATAATGTACCCACCTCTGATCTCAGTTCCAAAAAGATTCTTTTCTCCAAAACCTTTTCTTATTTAAAACAGGTTGGTTTTGTTTTGCTTTGCTTTTGGTGGCACTGAGGATTAGACTCTGGGCCTTTCACACACTAGGCAAGCTCTAATACTAAGCTACACTCCTAGCCCAAGCTCTCCTCATTTAGCTAAGAAAACATAAGGGATAGGAAAAGGACCCAAAATGTCCTGTTATAAACCTACTCTGTCCTCACATCTTCACCACCTTGGTGCACACAGTATATTCTGTTCTCTGCCTTTCTCACGGAGCTCCTCCACCGTACCCAGCTCTTAGTCATCCTTACAGGCCCAATACGAGAGGTCCCTTCCACACTAATGCCCAAGCCAAAAGCTGCCCTAGACACTCTTCTGCTTTACTGTGACAGTTAGAGTTTTCCTCTGGGCCTTGGATACTTGTATGCTATGCACATCTCCTGCTGCTGTCTGCTAGGCATCTTATTTGTACAAGTTGCAAACTACTTCCACCTCTGCCTCCTGCATCTCTGACACAACAGATATTCACCACACATTTGTTGAATTAAAATTTAAATTGCCACTGAGAAAGTAGGGAAGCAGATCTGAAGGGATCCCAGTAAGGGTGCATAAAACTACTACTGGCGGTGGCGGGTGTGGGGGGTGGGGTGGGGGGGTGGTCAGTGAGAGACGGAAGCTGAACATTAAGGGTGAGGTTAGGCACAGGATTAGTAGGGTATTAGTTCAGCCTTGCTGAACCATCCCTCTACTTCTCTTGGTTTCATCTTCTCTGTTTAAGGAACACTGTATTCCATACGTGAGAAATGAAGGGTATGTGGTTGTAAAGGGGATGAAGAATTAAACATAGATTTAGCTTTATACTAGACCAGACTAGGATATCATGGAGGCACATAGCGCATTTCTGTGAAGCCGTGTCACCTTGCATCTTGAAATCTTCTTCAAAGCACCGCCTGTTAGTGGTAAATTCCAGGTTCTCTGTGTAGCTATACAATTCTGTAGCAGAAAGAGGAAACAGTCACATTTAGAACCCCCAACGAAGAATCTAGAGTAGAGAGGATCACTTGAGGGAGCCAAAGGTTCCAACACATCCTTGTGTCCAATTCAATCCAGAGCCAGTTCCCTCCCTTTCAGAGCAGTTAAAAATAGCCATGTGTGTCCCTGGGTGATTAAACTATCAAACCTGTCCTCCTACCAGATGGCTGGCAGCAGAGAAGGAAGACAGCCTTTGACATTTGGTAAGGGCCAGGGGAAGGGCTGGAGTACAGAGGGCTTAATGCCATCATTTCTGTTTCTTAGGGCTGCAATCCATTCCATTCTGTCAACCCAGGCTAGAACTATCTCATCTTTAGGGAAGAGAAGGGAAACAACTTGGGATCTTACATGCTATCCTGTGTTGTTTAGGAAACCAAGACAAGGACTGAGAAACAACAGCCACAACAACCACATGCTGGCTGGGAACCAGTTTGTTTTTTCTATGCTGAGTTTCCTTGAAGGATACAGAAATTTAGGTTCCTACATATGGCACCTGGGCAGATAATGAGGTAAATCACATGGAGTGCACCTAGGGTTGCCAAAAGATTTTGTGTTTAAGAAAATCTAACCTTATTGATTGTAGCCTCTGACTATAAAACAGGATAACAATGTCTTCTGCCCCTCCAGCACCAGAACATTCACTCTGCAACCTCATTTTACAGAAGATGATTTAAAATCGAACATTATCTCAAAACCTATTCTGCCTATACCATGAAGTAGTAGAAATTTACTTATATTTCACCCAGCTAGCTAAAGACTGAGAATTACTTGGAAGTTAGAACTCTTAAACCTTGTGTTGCAGAATCTGGGGACGGCCAGAAACAAATTTCAACTTTGAATCTTAAATATGCCAATCATTAACTCGTTAATGAAAATGTGAGTATATGTGTATATATTTATTTAGATCAGAAAAGTCAGAAAGCTCAGGAAGGTAAACAGCAATGACTTTGTCCTTATTTTTAAAGCGTTATATAATGAATTTTCATATACAGATAATTATAAGATACATTAAAGATAACCATGTATCTTCTACTCAGATTAAACAAATGTAACATTTGTCATATTTCTCCAGTCTTACTCCTTTCTTGGGAAGTGACTACTATCATGAATTTGGCATGCATTCCTCACATGCCTATTTTCAGATTTTTGCTACACTTGTATCTATCTATAAACAATATACCAGGGCTGGAGAGATGGCTCAGCAGTTAAGAACACTTGTAACTGTTATAGAGGACCAGGTTCAATTCCCAGCACCCATATGGTGGCTCACAATTATCCATATCCCCATATACAGAGCACACAAGTAGTACACATACATGTATGCAGGCAAAACATTCATACACATCAAATAAAATGAGTTCAAATTTAAACAGTGTATCTGTGATACTGTTTTACTTTGAACCTTAACATTATCATCAACATAAATTCTTTTTGCCATTGCTTCTTTGCCTCAACTTTGTTTTGGGAATTTATTCATATTGAAATATGTTGATACAGATGAATTGTATCAATGGCTATATGCAGACTGACTATGCTTCTATGTTAATTTATCTATTCCCCTGCAGATGGGAATTTTAGTTTGCTCTCAATTTTTCATAATTAGTAACAAGGCTGAAATAAATGCTTTTTTGTGCTCAAGGATAAAGATCTTTAGATTATACATCTAGGAATAAAATTACTGGGCATAATATGTGTATATCTTCAACTTAATAGATATGACCTAATTGCTTTCCAGTTTTATACTCTGCATCTTCATACTGCTACACAAAGCAGTGTAGAAAAATGCCCATTCGTCCTTTAAGGTTTTTTTTAAACATTAATTAATTTTGTGTGTATGGGTATATGAGTGCCATACTGCACATACAGAAGCTGGAAGATAATTATGGGTGTCAGTTCTCTTCTTCCTCACCATATGGATCTGAGGTTCAAACTCAGATCATGAGACTCAGTGGCAAGTAGCCTTACCTGCGGAGCCATCTTGCCAGCCTTTAAGTTTTGCAGTCTGATGACTGTGAAATATCCTGTTTTTAAATTTTTTTCTTTATTAACTAATAAATTTGACCATCTTTTCAGTACACACACACACACACACACACACACACATTCTTTTGTGGTGCTGTGGATCCAACAGAGAGCCTCATTCGTGCCCCTTTGTATATTTATTGATGTTCTGATTTTCTTTTCTGTGAGTTCGTAGTCTTTGTCTACTTCTCTGACATCTCTTCTTTGTTTCTCTCTTTCTCACATTCTAGATTCTAACCCTTTGTTCATTATTAAACATAGCTATTTCTGTCACTCATTGCAAAATTTATTCACTGTGCTTATTCACCAGAACTTCTGCAAAAATGTTTGTCTTTTTATCTGAAAAAGCATGTTTCAAAGTGTCATTTCCATGTGACAGAATATCTTAACTTTCACACTATCCCCACCCAAAGCTCATTTATTAATAACTAGCATTCACAGCACGTGTAACATGGAGGCCCTTAATATTCCAGACAGAGTGAAGCAGCCAGGAATTGAAAAAGGAATGGGCTCGCTTAATCCCAGCTCACAAAGGTCTACAGCAGAGCGTGACCGTGACTGATGCAGGTGATATGTCCAGCCTTACTCAGGCGGCCAATTACCTAAAACCTCCTCAGCTGCAGCTAGAATTTTAATAAGGGCAGGTGTTAGGGAAATGAAGGAAGATGAAGGTAGACGGGGGGGGGAGGGAGAGAGAGAGAGAGAGAGAGAGAGGGAGGGAGGGAGGGAGGGAGAGAGAGGGAGAGAGAGAGGGATAAAGAAGGGGTGGCAGAGAGAACAGGCACACGAATACATGGGTTATAGGACGAGAGGAAATAATGGAAAGTGGAGAGAGCTGATCTGAGAGTGCAGCAAAAGAAAAGGAATTAACTAGGAAAGAGGGATGGACTGAACAAATGAAGACTACTACCATCAAGGGGAACTCACGGAAGGAAATGTAAAAGATATTTAGTATTGGGTTGGGGGAAGGATACAATAACAGCCCTTGTTCAATAGCTTTTGCTGAGGCCAGAGAAGCTGTCAGGGGAGATGACAGGCCTGGTCCCTTCCCCAACCACGTTTTCACTCACTATTGACCCATCTGTTCATACCTGACAACTCTGCTGCGTGCCCATCTGCATCTCCATATTCAAATTCCAGAGTAGGGCAGTCCACAGAGCCCTATAATAGAGAAAATTTTCCGGTAACGGGAAAAGATCTTGTCAAAGAAAGAATATGCTCTATTTTCACCTTTTTCCCCTCTTGGAGGCCAACATCAGATCAGAGAGTCATCAAGAAAGTCCTATTGGCCCTTTCATCTGAGGGGCACTCTCCCCTTTCAAGCCAAAATCTGAGGCCCAATGTAGGGAAGGGCTGGGGACTGCTATCTAGTATCAGAAAGTCTAGGTAAATAAGGACAGGATTATAAGTAACAACGAAAGCTGCCATTTGGAGCAAGGTGGTAGCACGTGCCTGTGATGTTCCGTTCTGAAGGCAGAAGCAGGAAGACCCATGTCTGAGGTCAGCCTGGCTGCAGAGCGAAACACGGTCACACACACACAAAAGGGACTGGGGATGTTGCTCAGTTGGTAGAATGTTTGCCTAGCATGCACCAAGCCCTGAGCTTGAAGTCCAGAATCCCATAAACAGGGAATGGTAGCATGTGCCTGCAGTCCCAGAACTCAGCTACACGGTGAGTTCGAGGCCAGTCTGGACTATATAAGACTTTGCCTCACAAAACCATAACCAACTAAACGAACAAAAAGAAAGCAACGATCTGGGCCTATATCTAATCTACATGAAACAGGAACAAGAGGAACATCTGGGTCATGTCTAGGAAAAAAGAAAGGCAAAAACCAAAAGAGAATTCAATTCTGGCCCAAGTCTGTCATTAACCCACTAAATGTGTCTCATGCTAAAGGTTTCTCATATACCAAAAGAAAAAAAAAAAAGATTTTTGAGTTCTGACATCCAACAACTAATTACCCAGGTATAGTGTAAATAAGGTAGCATTTACATTTCGAGTTGCATCAAATAATAAATTTCTTACATCTTGTATATATATAATCCACTTTAAAATATTTTAATACCCTCACTCTCTAACCTCTTAAGATTTTTATGAGTATTTCTTTTTAGCATACTTTTATATGAACTCTATTTATTTAGACAATGATGGAATTACAGACATGTGTGTTGCTGAGAATTAAACCCAGGGCTTTGTGTGCTAAGCAAGTGCCTTATTAAATGTGCTACATCCCTAGATATTTTCATTTTTTGTTTCGTTTAGACAGGGTTTAATTCTATAGGACAGGATGCCCCAGAACTTACTATGTACTCCAGACTGGCTTTGAATTCAAAGGACATCCTTCTGCCTCAGCCTTCCAAATGTAGTATTTCAGTTATGAGCCCTATGTGAATCTTTGAAATTTTGGATTTGGCACAAGACTTTAATTCCAGTACTCAGGATATAGAGGGAGAAGGATCTCAGTGAGCTTGAGGTCAGCTGGTTTACATAGTGAATTCTAGGTCTTTCAGAGCTACATAGTGAAATCCTGTCTCAAAAAATCATCAAAGTAAAAAGAAATAAAATTTGAGTCTTGGTTCTGTCACATATATGTGATCATAGTCAAGTTTACTTCTCTGTGCCTTGGTATAGTATAAAGTATATATTTGGTCTTCGCCCTTGGTTCCTAGCACAATGTTCCTAAAATCCTTAGAACATCCTGATGGTATTGTATGTTACTCAGGAGCCCATTCACTATTCCAGAAGTAATGTTACTGATAACTCATGGTGGACCCTTACATAGTTCTACACAAGGACTGGCCCTACTAGAAAAGTTAAGCATGCTTTGAAGCTAATAAGCATTACTCCTATTATGGAGGGATGTGAACCATAGATTGAGCTCAGTTACATTTAATTGCTCCCTATCATGGTCCATTTGAAAACCCTAAACAGGGACTAAGAAGCTAGTTTGGTCAGTCAGTAAAGTACTTGCTATTCAAGCACGAGGTGCCAACAGTCCTTAGAACCCATGAGTACATGTTTGTTATCCGGATGCTGGGGCAGCCATCCTGGCTAGTTCCTTACCAGTGAAAGACTGTCTCAAAACCCAAGGTGAATAGTTCAGGAATGACACCTGAGATTAACCCCTGGCCTTCACACACATGTACACATCCAACTGCAGAGAAAGAAAGAGAGGCTGTGTGTGAGAGTACCCCTGAAAAAATGGCTTGTAGTTTGGTGTTGATGAAAAAGATGGCTGTTCTAAGAGGGTGTTGACCCTTAGAGAGAGTATAGAATCTCTGTACCAAGCCAAGCCCATATCTTGTCTTATGAATATCTTCTGTTTGGTTGTTTCTGATTTGTACCTTTTATTTAAAAATCAGAATCTTAAGTGTATATATTTCCAAGTTCAGTCATTCAAGTTCAGTCATTTTAGTTCAGTCATTCAGACCAACTTAAAAGGGGTAAGTAATGGCAATCTGAGTTTTCAGTTTGCCAAGAAGAAATGCATACAATCTAGGAATCTCCCTTGTGGCTGGCATCTGAAGTGGGGGCAATATTGTGTATGCACTAATCCTGGGTAATTAGTGTCAGAATTGAATGTGAATGTGGAACATTTAGTTGGCATCAGTAAATTGTTGGAAAATGCTCAGTTTTTTCACCCATAAAATGAGGACAATAATAAGATTTTCTTCAGAGGGTTATTGTAAGGACTAATAAAAAAGGCACTTAGCATATAGCCCTCTTGATTTGTGCCAACTGTAATTCTCTTCCAGCAATTTTTTCAGAAGCCCTAGAAAACTGTCTTCTCTAAGGACTGCCCTCTACTGGAAAGCTAAGAGAGAAGGAAAAGCAGATCTGGGCACTCACTGCAAAGATGCTAGGGGACATACCGACAAGCATGTGCTTTGCAGTGGAAGGTGAGGGAGAGCTAATTTTCCCAGCAAGGCTTTTTGGAGGCAACGAGCCCAGACAGAGACAATTACTGTAGCTGTTCATTTCTAAGCACGAGCAATGCAGCTGCAGAAATTCAGCAGGTAAACAGCAGTGCCTGGAAAACTCTGGATATCCACGTTGAACTTGCTGGCAAAAGTGAAGTACTATGAGAGCCTTTTCCTGAAGGAAGCTGTGATGGGTGAGGACCATTACTTACTTCAGAAGGGTGATCCAACATAGCACTCTGCAGCCACTTGTTTGCATATTGTCTGCCTCCCTGCCCTTCCTGGAATGCTAGCTTAGCCGTATTCACTGACATATCATCAGCACCTAATAACTTCATTGTTTTCCCTGGGGAAATATTCGATCAAGAACAATGCCTCACTTTCCCTGCTTTGTGCAGCCAAGGGGTGAACAGCTCTCCTCCACCATGCCCTCCCCACCGTGGAAGACCTCTGAAACCATGAGCCAAAATAAACCTTTTCTTCCTCTGAAGCAAGCAAACAAACAAACGAAGTCTCTCTTCGGGAAGGAGGTGCAAGGTATTCCTAAAGAAACTCCTGGTGAGGAAACCTCGACTGTGCAAGGTGGTGACTTTGGGGGCAATTTCCCCCCTCTATTTTTACCTTTTATAAAACAGGAGCTGGGGAGGGTGAAAACATGCTTAGTTTTGTGAGCCCTTGGGCTCCATCTCTGTACAACAAAAAAAACCAAATAGACAAATAAATCATTTTGGAAACTATGAAGTATTATTCAAACAAACCACCACAGACTTGATTTGTAGGACACCATCCATCCCCCCACCCCTCACGCCACATGAGAATGATGAGCTGTAAGTACTGACCAATTAATTACATGAACTGTGCTAAACACTTTAAGTTCAATTATTCATAGGGTTAATCCCATTTTACAGAAGAAGAAACTGGAGCTCAGGTAAGTTAGGTAATTTGCCCAACGTCACACAAATGATAAATGGTAGTGCTTAAATTAAAAACAAAAACAAACAAACAAACTGGCCTGACAGACACTGAACTTGGTGGTCTTGGCCACGTGTCTGATCTCAAGGTTGGTTTTTATCTTTTACCCTCTAGATGTGTCCCCCCCCCCCCCGTCTTTAGGGTGCTGGGGATCAAATTTAGCACTTAGAGCACGCAAGGCAAGCACACCATCACTGAGCCGCATCCTCCAGCCCCGTGTGCTTTGCGTAGTAAAATGAAAGGGAAGGGTTAGGCTCACTTTGGTGGTACACACTGTCATCCCAGCACTTGGGAAATGGAAGCAGGACCGTCAGAAATCAGAAAAAGAGTTCAAGGCTCTCCTCAGCAACACAGTGAGTTCAAGCCCAGCTGGGACAAATGAAACCCTGATGTTAATGGCTTTTGCCCTGAGCTGTCTCAAATAACTAGCGAATAGATGGAAACTGGCTGGATGTGTGTGTGTGTGTGTGTGTGTGTGTGTGTGTGTGTGTGTGTGTGTGTGTGTGTGTGTGTGTGTGTGTGTGTGTGTGTGTGTGTGTGTGTGTGTGTGTGTGTGTGTGTGTGTGTGTGGTGATAATAATTCAATCCTTTCAATGTCCTAGTTAGATTTTTTATTTTAATTTAGAGGAGGAAGATACCCAAATAGTCAACCCTCCTAGCTGCCCCTGGAGCAGCTGCACCTAAATGCCTCTCTGGTCCTACCCCAGCTTGAATCACGTCTCTTTTATCCCCACCCCCCGACAGGGGCGAGGTGTTCTCTGGAAGGCTCTCCCTAAGCCACCTCCATCACCCGAGAGCAGGGGATAGCAAGGGAAAGCAGGTGCTGCAGGCTGGTCTGGTCCAGTCCAGAGCCAGTTGCTGCAGCCTGTGTGCTGCTCGCCTGCCCACCCTCCGCGGCCAAGCTGGGGCTCCCACCCCTCCCGCCAGTCCCAGCATCGGCAAACCGGGGTCCGAATTGCGGCTTACCCGGCGACGGCTATCAAGTATCTGCAAAGTATCTGTTACGCTCTACGCTCGGGCTAGGGAAACCGCAGGCAACAGGGCTAGAAAGCCGGCGACCCGCAGCGGGAAGGGACAGGGCTGCGGGCCGCGACACCTCAGCCGCCGGCCGACGTCCCCGGGTTCCTCACCTCCGACTCCCGCCGCTGGCCGCGGAATGCTTCCCGGCCCTTGGGCGCACCCGGCTTCCCTTTACCGCCGTTGCCGTTGCCGTTGTCATTAGCGGGCGAGCCGGCGGGCCCGGGCGCCGCGGGGTCGTCCATGCTGGGCTGGCTCCCTTCAGCTGCTCGCTTCTGCAGTCCCCTACGGCAGCTCGGCGATCTCTGCCCGGGGCGACCCCGCCACAGCGCGCGCCCGGAACCAGGCCCCGCCCCCTCCTCCTCTATTGGCTGTGGCTACTCTCTGCGGGCCCGCCCCTGTGTTGTGATTGGCCGATCAGCCAGGCAGAGGTGGGGACTCTTTCAAGGAATAGTCCCCCTCACACCCCCGGCTTTTTGACCGCACCGTGGCTGGCGGCCTGGGACCTGCAGGTTGGCTTGTCGCTCCACCTCTCGACGTCTGCTCCCTGAGCCCTGGCTGGAGGCTTAGCTCCGCGTTGCCCGCTCCTTTCAGGCTGTCCCGTCCCACGTAGCGGCCTTTCCCCGCGAGCCGTAGTCTCCGCCCCTTTTCCACCGCAGTCTACGTTTCCGCGTTACCACCGACCCGGACCCCCGATCCCAGCCGCTGCACGCCTCTCACATCCCGCTTCGTCGCCGAGAACTCCTGGCAGGGAGAACGGGAGTTGCGGGGAGGGAGGGATGTCACTGAAATCCCTGACGCCCTTGAGGGACTGCTCCCTGTCATTTGTCCCCACTATGTGGGCACCTTTCTCGTGGTGCGAATAGATAGCAAGCCCCCACCCTCACCCGCTGCTCTTTCCTTCCCCTCTCTAAAGCAATCCCTGGGCGGGCGAGAATGCTCAGTGCAGCACTTGCTTCTAATCTAAGTCTCAGGTCTTGAGTTCGATCCCCGGATCCCCACATGGTGGAAGGAGAAAAGGGACTGCACAAATACTCCCTCCACAAGTACTCCGCCGCCGTTTCCTCCCCCATCCCACGCATACAAACAACAAATATTTAAATTAAGAAGGAAAGAAAAAACAAAACAAAACCAACAACAACTAAGAGCTCGAGGTTACCGGGCAGTTGAAGGCTGTGGGTTCTGCCCTCTCCTGAAATAGACTGATCTGGCTTGACAACGACTGAGGGAAGGGACCAAATCGCTCTCCTAACCTACTTGGGCGGTGAGGGGATCATTGAGTTGGGGGCTGTGCTAAGCACCGCACTAGTGTTTTTCAAGTACCATACCTCTTTCTGACAGGTTATTTACACAAATCCGGTGTTTACTAACGAGGAAACTAGTAAGCGCAGAGAATGCCATGGGATTCCCAAAGTAGTATATATTGCTTCTAGTCTCACTCAGTGTAGTAAGTATGCTGTTGTTCTATGGAAGAAACCCGTTTTCTTGGCTTACTACAGTCTTTGCATTTCAATTGCTGCTGTAAAATGCATGACCAAAAGCATCTTGGGTAGGAGAGGATTTATTCCACCTGACAGCTTAGAGTCCTTTACTCGGGGAAGCCAGAACAGGAGCTGAAGGAGACGCCATGGAGGAATGCTGCTTACTGTCTTGTGTCTCGCAGCTTACTCAGCCTGCTTTTTTTATACAACTCAGGACCACTTGCTCAGCGCTGTCAGTGAATCAGCTCCTCCCACAGCAACCGTCAATCAAGAATATGCCCCAGAAGCTTACCCACAGGTCAGTCTGCTGGGGGCTTTTTCTCAATTGAGGTTCTGTTTTCCAAAATGACTGCAGCTTGTGTCAAACTCACATAAAACTAGCCAGCACAGCTACTGCTGTTTAAGATCCTACTTATGACCATTTTTTTCTCTAGACTTTTATTTTTGACCCTCCTTACTTCATTCAGGCATGTTGCTGTCAAACAAACTTTGCTGGAATCCCAAACTGTGGTATTTTTATTCTCCTCAGACAATGCAATTATGCCTCCTTTCCTGTCTTAGGGACACTTCTATTCTTTTTAGACGTGATCTCATATTGTAGCCCAGGCTAGCATGAAACTATGTAGTCTAGCCTGGCCTCTAACTCTTGGTCCTCTTGCTATGTTCTCTTGAGTATTGGGATTACAGACATGAGACATCGTTCATATCTTAACTCCATTTTCCTGTATGTATATTTGTGCACTACATGCTTTCCTGGTGCCCATGGAGGTCAGAGGAGGAAGTTAGATCTCCTGGGACTGGAGTTACAAATAGTTGGGAGCAGAGGCAGGTGGATCTCTATGAGTTTGAGGTCAGCCTGATCTACAGAACAAATAGTTGGGAGCTGCCATCTTGACCCTAGGAATTGAACTCCGGTCCTGTGCTCTTAAACCAGTGAGCCTCCTTACCAGGCTCTCAACACTTTCTCCCTTACCTTTGTTAGTTGGTAAGATGTCGGGGGAGGGAGAGCACTGATAGAGATTTCATTCCTTGGAAATTTCTGGATACCTTTTCTGGTGCCCAACATTTCACTGGCACCACCAGCCTTCTATCCCCAAGCCTACTCCACTGTGGATGGAGCTCCTTTGGAGGGCCAGCCTCATTGTGGTTTGTTTGCTTTGTTTTGTTTGAGTTAAGGTCTCATGTAGCTCAGGCTGGCTTCAAACATGGTTTAACTGAGCATGACCTTGAACTCCTGATCTTCCTGCCCTCAAAGTGCTGGGATTACAGATGTGCACCACATCTGGTTCTTCATTAGCTTTTGCATACCACACTTCTGTATGTTTACCACAGGGGTTTACAATCTATGTGCCACTGACATTTTGTACTGAAAAAACATTTGTCATGGGTGAGTGTCACATACATTTTAAGCTTTTCAGTAGAACTTTTGGCTGCCCCCGAAATATGCCAGTAGCACTTTTCCGTTAGTTATGACAACCAAAAATGTCTTTAAACATTGCAATATGTCCCCTGGGGAGCAAAATCTCCTTTTGCAATACCTTGGCTTTGCATACAAACTCATGTGAATTTCCAAGAAAATCTTTGGCTCAAGGCACAAAGTATTTGATTTTGGAATTTTTTAGGGCATAATTTGTTAAACTCTTAAAAATGTACAATCTACATTAAGATTCACAACCCACGCCTAGTTTATCCCTGCTTTAGTGTGACAGACTTGCCACGGCACAGCCCATTGGGTTTCTTACTAAAAAAGAGTTCATTATCTACCTCTCCTCCTAAGCAGCCAGAGCTCTATGACTGACAGTCCCAGAAATGAGCCCTGTCAATCAGTAAAATCCTCACAGCCACTAGTTTTGAGGCTTTCTTCCTTTTTCTGCTTTTCCCCAAGGCAAAGACTGACCCATTGGGAGAGGGACTGAGGAGGTCTCCTCTGGCTTCATCTAAAGCCACTGCCAAGCCTAGACCTCCATCTGGCTTTGCTTTTAGAGATGGGATTTGCAAATTTGAAGATTGCAGAGAATCAGAAGGTGATCTTCTACTAGTGGGTTGGAAAACAGCAAAGGTCACACATCTATCTGCTCAGTATAAGCCCAGGCAGGTGTTCAGAACTTGTCATGAAGTGTCCAGAGAAAAACTGGATGAAGCCACAAGAAACTTCAATCAATTGAAAACTTTGAAACTGTAGGCCATTCAGCTCATCTGTTCACAAATGAGTGACAATCACAAATACCAATGGGCACAGAAGCACCCAGAAGTGTACCTGGGAGACAATTTGTCAGGCTGGTCTGTGTCTCTTTCCATTCTCTGAGATGTTGCCAGTCTTTTAAAATCTATACTCCGGGGGGGCTAGAGATGGCTCAGTGGTTAAGAGCACTCAGTCACTGCTCTTCCAGAGGAGCTGAGTTCATTTGTGTCCAGCACCCACACCAGGTGGCTGACAACCACCTGTATGTAACTGGCTGCCACGGACACCAGCTCTCCCACTCACATACCCACACAGATACGAAATTAAAAAGAAAATCCTAAAACAAAACAACACTCCCGACACACACACACACACACACACACACACACACACACACACACACACACAATACTACGAAGTTCTCTTGTCCCAAAGCTTTACTTCCAAACTCAGGTTTCTAACAGAGGGTTGATGGTACAAAGAATAATAGCGATAAAACAAACTCCTTTCTCCATTTAAGCACTCTAATTCACAAAAGCAAAATACTTCATTAAATAGATAGTACTTGGCCCTAAGACAGCTTAAAAATAAGATGAGGAGGTCTTCAGTCCTTGTTTCTGGGGGCTACTGGACAGACAGGATAATAAGGAGCATGTGTGGCACATGATGCAACAGAGGCTATGACCCTGTCTGCAACCCAGACCTGGAGGCTATGAAGTAACCAGTGGGTGCCAGTATCTTTACGCAGTATTCCCCCTCCCCACACCTAAGCGAGGATTACCTGCAAGTGTCTATGCACCACTCGCACACAGCGCCAGCAGAGGGTGTCGGATCACCAGAGTTATAGATGCTTGAGGGAACTGGACCTGAGTCCTCTGAAAGAGCAGCCAGTGCTCTTAACCATAAGTTATTTCTCTAGGCCTACTTTAAGCAGCATTTTTAATACATCTGTCTAATCAAACTTTAACATGAAGCATTGCACAGTTTACAAGCAAGTAAACTACAAGAAAATTACTCCCAATGGCTAGCCTACTAATAATTGAGAAAGAACAGGCAACTGTTCTTATTCTAGTTAATTTAGAGATAAACCTCTACCTGATTCCCGCCCCACCCCCCTTTGACTGGATACAGTTAGATCTTTTGGTTCCAGCAGAAGGGCAGCAACAGTGGTATTGGTGACCTAGATCCATGCTTTGGTTTATTTATTTCTTTTTTAAAGTTGTAACTACCCTCACAGTCCTCATCTCAAGGTGGTTCTGAGAAGGTGTGTGTCAAGGTGGGGTGGTGGGGGAGGAACAAGGTACTTGTTAGCAGGGTCTCAGTGGAAAACAAGTCTCAGGGCAATGGTCACTCAAACATCCTGCCGGTACCAGCATCAGCGGTTCACATCTTCGGCCTATGGCAGGTAACACCTGCTGCCCAGATACCTCTCATCTCTGAGTTCCTAATTCACAGAAGCAAGTGGTATTCTCAGGACACGGATCAGTTTTAAGAATATTTTATTTATTTTTTGAGATTACATAGTCATTATTGCTGATCTAATACAATCACTTAGACATAAAATTTCCAAGAGCTTCTCAGAACTGGTGGTCCTTAGAGGTCTTGTTCCTTTCAGTAAGATGACAGGAAGAAGTAGATGATTATTTATATATATGTATATTTATGTATATATATATAGTTTAGACTTGTCAATATATAATTTGCTGGTGTTACCTATTTTCTTTCCATAATTTTCCTTTATTAAAAAAGCTTAATGCAATAATGCATTCTGATTTTTTTTTAACCATGACAAAGTTAATTCTGAGGAAACCACAGGAGCAGCAATTTCAGATCTGTTCGGAGAAAAGCCAAGCAGCAAAAAAAGCTTTGCAGGAGTGTGTGGCCATGGGAGCCGTGCTCTCATGGGAGGGGAACATGAGGGAGGAGGGCAGAAGGAAGGAAGTCTAGAGGAATTTTGTTTAACAAGAACAAGGAAACGATGAAGACGTGAAGCAACACACATTTCATTATGGATAAGTGAGTGGTATGTGTCCCCATGGACCAGGGTCACACACCTAGAGAAGTCAGCATTCTTTTTGCCTCCTGGTAGCTAGGATGCATCCAAGAGGAAGTGTTGGAATAAGAGATTTGCTCTGATTCCAAAGTTAGAGGGAACAATGGTTTGGTTCTAACAGGACAGATCCTAGACAGGAGTCCTGGGTTTCCTTCTCTCTTTCTTCCACAGTCCCCACAAGCCCCTGTACTGGGGATTTGACCCAGAGCTGGGTACACCCTAGCTAATCAAGTGTCCTGCCACTGACTTACATCCCTATTTCTACTTCTGGTTGTTTTCTTAATGGTTGATGACACAGCAATCTCCAGAGACAAGGGAATAGACACCATCTGCTACTCATAGTCAAATACCTCACCATGGTCAGACACAGTGCAACCTACCTTAGAAACCTACGTGGTTCCCTTCCTATTTGCAATGGGTCTCTTCACTATGGTTTGACAGAGTATACTCTGTAAGGACCAGGCATAGGAAGCTCTGTAGAGAGCAACGCTTTGCTTACTACATCTACCCTAGACAAGGGTTTATTAGGGTGGCAGAGCCCGGAAATTGTGTAAGACTTAAAACCTAAAACCAGCAGGTTATGACTTGGGGCCCATGAATATAAAAAATTAGAGTCCAGAACCTGCCTAATGGAATCTGCCCTGGACATAAGACTAATGAAGTCTGCTCTGGACATAAGGCGAGGCACAGATATCTGAACCTTTTGCTAAAGAGATCCAATTAAGAGCCAGCCAGGCACGGTAGCATATGCCTCAGAAGGCCACGGCAGGAGGACTGCCATGAGTTTGACACCAGTGAGGGTTACAGAGTGAGACTATTCCAAAACAACAACAAACCCCACAATAACAAAACAGAGGTGGTAGTGGGAGGGTGATACAATAAGCTATTAATACACAAACCAGAACGAGGCAAACAACTGGATATCTTTGTGGACTCTTCAGCCTCTATAGTCTTCCTTATAAAAGAGAATATAGCCACAGATGATGCCTTGTGAAGAATCCATTTTCTGGGCTGAGACATACCATCTAATAAGGCAAATAGCCACCTACCCCAGTTCTGTTTCCCTATCTTCCAGGGCACACACAAAGACCAAGAGGAGATGGTGGGAGCAGGGGAGAGGATCTAGATAAGGTGTGTCTTCTGTTTGGATGACCTTGGTCTTGAGACTTTGAAGCAGAACAATGTAAGAAATACATGAGAAACAAACATGAGACTTTTAAATAGGATGGGCCGTGAGAGGAACTCATTTAACTCAAGATTCCTAGGGTCACTCCAGGTTTTAATTTTTGAAAACAATTGATTCCAATGGAAATCTTGAAACCAGTCAGGCCGTCTCCAAAGGAAATCTAACTCTTGGGTGGAATGAGAAATTTCACACTGTTTACATTACTAGCTCTTTCATAATGCTGGAGTTACTTAAGAAACTCTCTGAAACAGAATCCTTAACAGAAGGGGCCAGATCATAAAGATACAGCAGCAACAAAGAAAGATGAGATATCAGATTGCAGATCTCACTTTTACCAAGGGCAACAGTCAAAGGGGTGAATGTCTGATGAGGTTCAAACTAGTTCCCACCTCCTTCCCTAGCACCCAGTGACAGCCTAGGGCTTTATACATGCCAGGCAAGTTCTTTATCACTGAGCTATACCCCAGACCTCACACTAGTTTTCATCATCTGGGTACAGATGACAGAGTCATCTGTCTTCTGCAGCCAGGCCATGACGACTTTCCTAGAAATCAAACAGACTTGTTTCTTTAGGATGTCAAGCAGGATCTCACTCTGAAGTCTCAAGCTTCCAAATCTCTAGCAAACATCTTTGCCAACTCAGTTCCAGAAGAAATTTCAGGAAGCATTATCCACATGAAGCTATCCTTTTCTGAGACAGTGCCAGTCTAGAGGGGCTTCCTAGAAAACGGTCCCCCTACTTCCTGAGCAGAGTTTAGTGGGGTTAGAAAGCAAAACACATGCCTGGCCAACACCAGAGGTATTAAGATCATGGAGGCACACCCCTCTTGGAACCAGGAAGCATTAAAATGGACATAATATTCAAGGAACAGAAAGGAGTCCTGGGTAAGAAGAGATCCCAGTAGGCACAGACACAGGCACAGCTGAGTTCTTGTTGTAGCTTACAAGACCTTAACACTCCTACCTCACTAGCCTTTTTATGAAGAAGGCAGTGACAGTAACTATCAAGACCGAGAATTCAGGCCCTGTTAAGTCAGTGGCTTCCAAAAAGGCCTCACCTGGGAAAGGACCAAAGCTTTGAGAAAGGCAGCTGCTGAAAATTTATTCCAGAAAACCCTAAGTAACAAGGAGTCTGGCATCCCTGAACTAACTCCTGAGCCTGGAAAGAAAAATGGCCATCATTGAGGATTCCATCAATAGGCAATGATGCGAATGATCACTAGGAATGACTGCCCATTTCTTTTCTTCCTCAGCCTGTCCTCTGCGGCTCTCAAGGTCCCAGGAGTAGTAATCACACTCTGGGCCAAGGCTACAGGCACAGGAATCTAGATTTTAATAAATAAATAACCTAACACATAGGATGAGCATGGCGGGCAGCTCTGATTGGAGAAGCAGCTTGCTGGGTTCTTCCATGGATAGTAGTGGAGAAAAGGCTTGGTTCTATTCTTTAAAACGTCTTCTGGCTTGCATTACAGGAACTTAATACCTGAAGGGGAAAAGAAAGATGAAACTGATGCTGTCTGCTGGTGGGGCTGGAACATAAGCAGCCTGCCCACAAGTGTAACAGGGAGACAAGGGCTTTCCTAGTGTATATGGTGAGGATAGATAACTGTGGCTCTTGTTCATGTCAAGAAGGCTCAGCGGACAGAAGCACCTGCCACCAAGTCTCCGCCTCCTCAGGACTCACAAGGTAGAAGGGGAACTTACTTCCACAGGTTACCCTCTGACCTCCATATATGCAACATGAGCTCATGCACCCCCTCTACGCATACATAAATACACACTCACAGCATAAATAAGAAAAATGTGATTTTAAAAGACTAGTACGTGTGTGGGGGCAGACAATGGCAATGTTTAAAGAAGACCTTAGAGTGCTTTGAGGCAGGAGACCTGGAGGAAATGTGCTATTTTCCTGAGTTTGTATAAAGGTATGTGGTAGGAGATGCAAGGGTCAGTGGCACTGCGGGAAGCTCTTCACTACCCAGCCTTCTCTGGTTTCTGGGGAGCCCAAGGCACCTGTAGTAATTAGGCTTGAAGGGCCCGTTCTTGTTCAGTCCCAGATACTTGGCCTGTTCGTCTGTCAGCTCTGTCAGGTGGGCATCAAAGGTGGGCAGGTGTAGGCTGGCCACATACTCATCTGCAAAGACCACAGAAGTCATGGGATAGGCATTCATGTCTCCTATCTGGCTATTCTCCTCAAGCTAGGCCTTAAGAAGTTGGAAGACAGGTTGGAGTTCCTGGAGATGATTGGGAAATGCTTGACTTTTGCTTATAGGTCCTCAAATCTAAGGAGTGACTGCCTTCAGCTTCCAGTCCAGTGACTTTAAAAGCCAAATATTTCTTCCAGTAACTCTTTCTGCCCTGAAGCTTTTCCCTCAGAAAAGAGAGAAATAATGGGAATAGAATAGGCCTTAAAAATGGGAAGTTTTACCTTGATGTCTACAATGTACTATGAAAATACTAGAAATACTATATTATACATTCTAGAAATATTAACATCCATGTGAACTGGGGGAAAAACCCCCAGAACTGTGGGGGAGGGCCTAGACAGACTTTGGAGATTCCCCATGGAGGGCCTCACCCTTCTTGGGGAGTGGAGGAGGGGACGGAGAGGGAGCTGGGATTGACATGTGAAGCAAGCTTGTTTCTAATTTAAATTAAAAGAAAAAAACCAAAAACCAAAAAAACCTAGAACTGTGTACTGTGCCTTAGTAATTTTATATCCTTTGAATCACTGTATTACTAGCTTCATTATATATCCAAAGAATATAAACTGCTCTATTCATTTCATACCTTTCCAAACCATGGTAGCTTTGTTTTGTTTTGTTTGAGACAGTGTTTCTATCTGTGAAGTCCTGGCTACCCTGGAACTTGTTCTGTAGATCAGGCTGGTCTCAAACTCACAGACAGTTTGCCTCTGCCTTTCTAGTGCTGGGATTAAAGACCTGTACCACCACCTCAGACCCATCCAAACTGTACTAAAGGGAAATACAGCAAATTGTAACAGTAGATGGAACAAAGCCAGAAGCTGACTTATTCCCTGAGAGCTTGGGACAGGCTTTTTAAAAATTTAAGACAGTTTAATGTTTCTATTATACCAATCCCCCACATAATTAACTCTCTCTTTTTTTGAGACAGGGTTTCTTTATGTAACATCTTTAGCTGTTCTGGGACTCTGTGGACCAGGCTAGCCTCGAGCTCACAGAAATCTGCTTGCCCTTGCTTCTGGAGTGCTGGGATTAAAGGTGTGTGCCACCACCCCCTGGCTATAATTAACTCTTTTTCTTTTTTTCCCCGGTTTTTCGAGACAGGGTTTCTCTGCATCGATTTGGAGGCTGTCCTGGACTCTCGAGCTCACAGAGAATCACCTTCCTAAGTGCTGGGATTAAAGGCATGCTCCACCAATACCCAGCTTTATAATTAACTCTTAACAGGAACATGCATCCCTTAAAAGAAGGGGCTATTTATCATCTTAGAACTGGAATAGCCAGATATCACAAGGCCAGAGATATTCTCTTTTGGGGGGGAATATCTACCTCTCCCTTTTGAGATTTTTGCATATATGATACTTTAAAAGAGAAAATCTTTAAAATTCAATTGGTAGGCCAGGCATGGTGACACATGTTGTAATCCCAGATAGGAAACAGGAGTGAGTTCAATGCCAGCCTTGGCTACATTGTGAGACCCTGCCTCAAAACATACAATGTGATGCATTGCAACAGGGCATAATAAAATAATTCTGAGGCAGGTATTCTAAACCACAGCAAAATGTAAGAACTCCCTAGAAAAACCTATGTGGAGAGTCACACAAGTCACCTTGGAATAGAATCACCTGGACTCCTAGTTCCTGTTTTATAAGACAAAGATGTTTTCTTCCCCCACCCTCCAGAGGAAGTTAATGTCTCCAAGCTTCCTTCTGTTTCTGACAGTGAACTGCTTTGGTGAGAATGAGGAAGGACGAGCAGCTTACCCATTTTCTTGGGCAGCAGGTACACATCTTGCTTATAGCGACCCTCAGGAGCATTGTAAAGTTCTATCAAGGCGAGAGCCTAGAAAAGCAGAGAGATGTATGCTGATGAGCTTTCCAAAGCCTCCAAACTTGGCATGTTTAGGGAGCCCCTCCAGCCCACTACGGTCTCACTGCAGAGTTTACCTGAGTGGTAGCAGTGATTGAGAGTACAAAGGTAGGCACTGTGGAGCAGCTTAGGTTCAACAGACGGCCCTGGTGATCAAAAGTCAAGGCAAAGGGCATTAGGATGTTTGCTGACCTTTGAAGGGAGGATGACTGCCAATTCCCAATTCTTTCCTGACCGAGACTGTTAGACATAGCAGGCACTCAACAAAAAGCAATTAATTGATATCCTTTTAATTCTTTTTTTTTTTTGAGATGATGTTTCTTTGTGTAGCCTTGGCTGTTCTAGAACTTGTTATGTTAACTAGGCTGGCCTCAAACTCACCAAGATCCATCTGCCTCTGCCTCTCGAGCGCTGGTACTAAAGGCATGCATCACCATCGACCAGCCTAAAATTTAGTTTCTAACTGATATAATAAAGCAAAACTTATACATACTTATACGGTACCATGTAATGTTTCATGCAAGAGTACACATATCTATTTCCTCAGACATTTATCATTTCTTTAAATCCTCTCTTTCAGCATTTTTAAGTGTCCAGTACATACTTGTTACTATAGTTACAGTATGGTGATAGTATGCCCAAACTACTGACACCCCTAGTTGCCTGAAACTCAACATCCACTGATCAACCTCTCCCCGACCCCACCACCTCATAATTCAAAGCTATTGGTAACTGTTGTTTTTGTTTTTTGAGATAGGGCCTTACTGTGTAATCACAGGCTGGCCTATAACTCTCAATTCTCCTGCCTCAGCCTCTTGAATGTTGGGATAACAAAAGTGTGCTAAAATGTCTGGCTTACAGAAGCTATTCTTCTCACAAGTTCTAGGAGAATAGGACACAAGGCTAACAAGAAAAATCAGAACACAAGGCTCAAAATATACTGAATAGAGCTATTTTGATTTACTGAGGAATTCTCTTGATTTATATTTATTTGCTATTATAAGTAATGCTAGATTTAACCTTTTTCTTTTCTTTTGGAGACAATCTTATTATGTAGCCTCCGCTGGCCTAAAACTTACTTGTAAACAAGGCTGACCCTGAACTCCTACTTCTTCAGCCTCCATCTCCTGAGTGCTAAGATCACAGGCATGCACCAACACTTCTTGTCCCAGAACCAGTGCTTCTAGATTACACAGGTTTGAGATCATGCATTACTTGTCTTTCCATGTCTGGCTGATTTCACATTAACAAATGACAGGAGTTTATTGTTATGGTAGAACAGAATACATTGTGTGTATGTACCGCATTTCCTTTAACCAGTCCTGCTCCTTGGCTGATGTGACCAGCCTGCAATGAACAAGCAAGTGTAGGCATTTGACAGACTGATTTTGTTTTCTTTAGACATAACAATAGGATTACTGGAACAAATAGTTGTTCTGTTGTGAAGTTGTTGAGAAGCTAATACTGTTTTTCATAATTTGTTACCATTTATCTCTTTGATGATGGTAATTCTTACTGGAGTAAGACAATACCTCATTGTGGCTTTATTTTCCATTTTCCTGATGACTAGTGAGTAATCCTGAACACTTCCCCCTTTGTCTGTTGGCCATTTGCATGTCTTCTTTGGAATTAACTGATATTCACATGAAAACACTAAAAATTTGACAAATGTTTTTTCCTGAGCTATTTCCAGGACTATTTAAAAAGAGATGAATGCAGTCATCTGACACTGAGGACTGTGTACGTTTCCCATTCTCTATAGTAAATATCCTCCTCTTGAGGACTGGCATTCCTTAGACTGGCTGTCTTAGGAAACGAGACAGTCAAGGCAAGCGGCAGTCTCTCTAGGCTGAGGGAGAGACAACTATGGATTTGGGAAGCTGTGATGATTTTTGTGCTTATCAGTTTGTTTCTCTGACCCAAAGGCAGGTAGCCTTGAATTCTGAGTGGACAATGAAGACAGTAAAAGATCTAAAACCTGCTCCACGCTGTCCTTTCTCACTTTATTTCCTTGGAAGTCTGACTACTGTTTTTTGCTCAGCTACACAGCCCAAAACACCTTTAGTGCCTGTTTTTATCACCAAAATTGCTAAGGGGGACCTCCCAGGGCAGTTTGGAAATACTGCCAGACAGGGGACTGACGTCAAGGCTATTAATAAACACTTAACAACCTGCTCTTCTCTGAGCCATACACACGCCTTCCCAGACATATCCTAAAGCATTTAAAGAATGTTAATGGAGGGCAAAATATCAGAGTAAGGACATAAAGTTGGCCTTTGTGTCCTTACATAAGGAGATGAAATTGTTTACATTTCCATACTCAGTTTCTTTAATGTAAGAAAGAAAACTGAAGGAAACCAAAACCCCTTGCTATTTGGGGCCTTCCCTTAAAAGAGAAAGTCTCATGAAGAACATGAAGCATCCCCAGTACCCAGGAACTCTATGCAGTGAGGGCTGAGCCTTCACTACAGGAAATGTGGTCAGAAAATGACATAAAAGCTACACGGGATGAGAGTCAAGACGCAGTGTGCAGACCAGTGAGAATGCACGTGCTGCCTGCCAACCTGACACCAGGGTTTGATACCCAGACCTACAGGGTGGAGAGAAATGGCTTCTACAAGTTGTCCTCTGACGCCACAGGAGAAAGCATGCATATGAACAACTCCCCCTCCCAAAAAGGGACTTGGAATATCACTCAGCGGTGGAGCTCTTGCTTAGCATGTGTGCGTGTGTGAGAACTTAAGTTCAACTCCTAGCACAGGAGGAAAAAAAGAAACATGCAAGCTAGATGAAGCACGGTGTGGAACTATCCACCCAGCAACCAATTAACAGAATAAGCTGGGTACCTACTGCACATCTGGCTCAGTTCACCAGTTCAGAAGACACTAAAATAGAAACACCATCAGCAAAGACATGACTTTCCCAAAGCTTACTGAAGACAGTCTGAGTTACAGCCAGATTAAACCACCCCACAGATGACATTATTTCTCTGTGAGCATCACTCAAAGCGGAACTGATTCTATCTGCTAATTCCTTCCACAGTAATAGTCATTATCTGACTCAACCTGGAGAGTGACATGGAGAGACAGGGTAATTGGTGAAAAGTAAGGAACTAAAATAGTTTCTTAATTGCTGGATGAAAAGACCTTTCACAATTAGAAGTAAAACCCATTGGTAAAGTAGTTAAAACTTGTGCTTAAGAGACAGTTGAGAGGATCAGGGAACGCGAAGAGGAGGTGAGCCAGGAACTGCAGCCTCTCCGTCAGTGGAGTAGCTCTCTGTGAGCATCAGTCTTACCTCTGCCAGCAGTACTATCCTCTTGCCATCAGGCCATATCACATGGTCAACTTGGGATCTCACTCTCTCCCAGGTCAGTTCAGGTGTCCGCAGGCTTGCCTGGAATACATCCAGGAAGAACGTCATTAGCTGTGGCAAGTCCCCGGCACTGGAGACAGAAAGATGTCGAAGGGAGCCACTTCACATAGCAAGTCGAAAGAAGCAACCAACATGCCAGATGAATACCTGTCCTGGGGTGGTTAGGACTGTTCCATGTCAGGGAATTTAATCTTAGGCCCAGCCAGGGAGGGATCACTCAGGATGTCATTCCACACATACTGTACGCCCACTCTCTGCTGAGCACAGTAAAAGGTGCTATGGGAAATACAAAAGAAACCAAAGGCATGGTTTCTGCCTTCAGAAAGCTCATCTTTTAGTTGGGGACACAATACAATACATACGTGAGAAGAAATACAAGGCAACATGCAAACAAGTGCAGATTAATACGGTACAAACTGAACGCTTAAGTGCCGAAGAGATGGAAAACAACAGAAGATCAGAGCCAGGTGGGATTAGCTGGAGAAGGCCGAATGTCCTAGCACTGCATGCTGGGGAGCAAGATTCTGCCCTCATGTCCCAGCGCTCTGGTTGCACCTTCTCAAAGGGCTGGTTTGTCCTAGAGTTACAGAAGCTCTGTGTCCTAAGTGCGAGTGTGAGGTGGCTTTGAAAGGCTAGTGGTAAGTGACGTGCCAACGGCTCACCCTCTTTCCACTTCTGTGTGGTATATATTCAGAGAGCAAAGGAAAAGATGGTAAGTTTATTATCGGCAGCAATCAAATGACAGTCACAGGGTGTGCAGCCTTAGGACAACTACTTCCTTCTTCAATAAGCAATGGCTGAAACAGAAAGGGAGTCCTTATTCCAAACTACTCCATCAGTTTATCTGGTAAAACTGAAAAGTCCTGCCAAACACTAGTCCTTAGACAAAGAGATACGTTTTTAGTGACATAGTAATTCTGGGCATTGTAGCAAAGGACAAACACCGAGAAGAATGTGAACAGTTTTTGCACAGAGACAGTTATCTTTTCATTTTAAACCTCCAAATTCTCTCTAGACATACAATGGGGTGCTCAATTAATGCCTACAAAATCACGATCCCCCTCTTTAAGGAAATGACAATCTAATAGTGCAAAACGATAATTATTTTTTTGTTGTTTGTTTTGTTTTTGATAAGTTTTTAATTTAAATTAGAAACAATCTTATTTTATATATCAATCCCAGTTCCCTCTCCCTCCCATTCTCCCATGCCCCCCACCAATCCCCAACCCATCTCTCTTCTGCTCCATAGAAAGGGTGAGGCCTTCTATAGGGGATCATCAAAGTCTGGCACATCATTTGGGGCAGGGCCTAGGCCCTCCCCCGTGTGTCTAGGCTGAGAGAGTAACCCTCTATGGGAAATGGACCCCCAATGTCCATTCGTGCAGTCCATAGACTGCCCAGGCCTCCTAACTGAAACCCACATGCATGGGGCCTGGTTCTGTCCTATGCCGATTTCCAAGATGTCAGTCTGGTGTCCACAAGCTCACCCTTGTTCAGGTCAGCTGTTTCTGTGGGTTTCCCCCTTTGCCCTCACTCCTCCCTGTCTACAACTGGATTTCATGAATTAGGCTTGGTGCTTAGCTGTTTCCATCAGCTACTGCATGAAGGTTCTATGATGGTATATAAGGTAGCCATCAATCTCATTATAGAGGAAAAGCATTTAAGTCAGCCTCTCCACTATGGCTTAGATTCTTAGTTGGGGTTATCCTAGTATATGTCTGGACATTTTGCTAGTGCCAGATTTCTCTTTAAACCTATAATGGCTCCCTCTATTATGGTATCTCTTTTCTTGCTCTCCTCTATTCTTCCCCCGACTCAATCTTCCTGCTCCCTCATGTCTTCTTCCCTCCTCCTCCTCTTTTCCCCTTCTCTTTTTCCTAACTCCCCCGCCCCCCATGCTCCCAATTAGCTCAGGAGCTCTTGAAGGACAGACAATTCTATTTCGATGTATTCAGAACTGCATTTATCCATGGTCAGACCATCATTTCTTTATTAGGTACTTTGGAAATGTAAAATTTGAGACATAAATTTCATAAATCAATTCAATCATTCTAAAGAGCAATTTGGCAACAACTATCAAATGTTATAGAGACCTAATTTTTATCAATTAATTTAATTTTTAGGCTCCTAAAATAAATACTTGTTTAAGTCAAGAATTTAAGTGCCTAAGAAAGTTAGTCTAAGACTTAATTTCAGTACTTGGGAGGGGAAGGCAGGAGAATCAAGAATTCAAGATTAGCCTGGGCGATAATAAAACTATGTCTCAGTAAACAAAAGCAAAAACAAAGAAAAATGGTCATTCTAGAATTATTTATAATAGCAAATAAAAACAAACCAACAAGAGCATGACTAAGTAAATCAACTCTAGTGAATTTATGTAACACTTATATAAAAAAAGAATACAATGAAGAAGATGAAGAGGAAGAGGAAAAAGAAAAGGAAATAGCAGTAATAATAATAATAATATTGGGGGAGAGGGGAGATGGGGGAACTGGGAGGAATGGAGGGAGAGAGGCAGAGGTTGCTAAGTACTATATGAGAGAATAATGATGATGATAATAATAATAATAATAGAGGTTTGCTATATAGCTTAGTGGTACTATTCTTGCCCAGCATTTAGAAAACACTGAATTTGATCCTCAGCACCACATATTAAAAATAATAAATAAATTATGTGAACAGAATTAAAAATAATTGAAGCAAGCAGACAACTGAAGAAGTAAAGAATATATACCAAATTAATCCTTTAGCCTTTGAAAACATCACAGAGAGGGGTATAACCAACCACCTATGGCCAAGACATATGGCTCCTTGATTACACAAGCATTTCATGCTGAGATGAGATGTTAAGTAGTTCAGAATTTTATTGTTTCATATTATCAGTCTTCCAGAGGAAAAGCAATGTTGGTGTCTGGGAGCAAGGAGCTGACGTGCTACTGAGTCTACCATCTGGGACGTACTCCTTGGGAAGAACATGGCGGATCAAGGGAAGAGCAACTCTTTATGAACGTAAGAACATAGTCAGTGGTGAGGGGCAGCACAGTGAAGCTCCAGAGTGGGCATGGAACAGCAAAAGGCCTTGACGGTCACTTCAAAAGGAGGCTTAAAGAGGAGCTTGGTTAACTTATCTCTTCACTTCCCAGGGAGGGTCAATGTCACACCATGAAGATGTCTGCTGGGCAGTCACACTCCTCAGAGTGTTTCCCACCCTATGGTTGGCACAAGAATAGCTCTTAAAGTCAACAAGCTGGGGCTGGGAGAGGAGTCAGTGGTAAAACAAAAGCTTTTGGGTTCACTCTCTGGTACCAGCACTCCAAAAGGGGATGCGGGGACCCCAGACTGGCTTTGCTGAGGCTTTACACTCACCTACCACTCCGCCAGGAAAAGGGTTGCTTATGCAGATGCCATCTCCAGAGGCGGGCATATGCCTGCACACACTGACCTCACATGATTCTGAACAATGCATGCCATTCCCCCGTATACCACCCCCCCCCAACACAGCTGTGGTTTCATTTCTTTAAAACAGAATCAACAGCAAGGCTTAGGTAAAATAATTCTTTGGGTGGAGAACTTTGAAAGCATGTGAACATAATAATTGTTTACCACTTGAACAGGCCTTCCATCAAGACAGAAAAAGTGTGAAAGAGAGAATTGGCTAGCAAGTAGCCTATAGCAGGTTCTCTGGGATTCACAGAATTCCTGTTTTTCAGGGGGAAAAAAGTGCAGCTTTCTAAATGGCTAACATTTTTTCATGAGCTGTTCTTTCCTAAAATGTACAGCAAGCAAATAACAGAAAGTTAGGCAAACCCAAAAAATTCCTACTCAGAAGAGGAAAAGAAAAACCTACATGATATTTGGGAGAGGGGGAGACGCTTGAAGGATCTTACCACACACATAGGTCATGATAGCCTGGAGCTCTCTATGTAGCCCAAGCAGGTCGAGCTCCTTCTCCTCCCTCAACCCCCAAGTACTAGGAATTATTCTAAATTTTGATCACAAAGCTGTCTGGCCAGCCATCAGGTAGACCTCTGAGTCTCCTACAGAGTGAGAGCCTGCCTCAAAAACAAAACAATATGACAACAAAATCTAGCTGGATAAATATTGCATAGTAACACTGACTTGATTCATGGAGGCTTTCTTCTCTGAATTTTGGTTACAAAAGATCAAGTATATCTCTGGATGACGACCAAACCATTCTCCTATATAGTAACACTAAGTTGGTTTATAGAGACTCTCCTTTCTTTTCTCGCACTCTGTACCTAATTGATTCAGCACAGCCCACTGGTTACAGGGAGTCTCATCACCTCTGATGCTAACCCACTGAACCCAAGCCACATGTCGCCATCTCAAAGAGCCTCCTGCTGTCCCTACATCTACTCAAGCTCCAGAGGGTTTTCTTTATACAAGAGCCAGGCTGAGATTGTAGAAAGCATACATCAGATATATTTTGTTAAAACTTGCCCAGGAGCTTCTTTCCACAGGCTCCTACCTCACTCATTCCCTCCTTGAGCGGCTCCTCTGCTCTCCTCTTTCTTGTGCGCTCTGCTACGGTCTCCAGGCTTTCTCTACCTAGTTATCTCTGTGTGCATGCCGGGCCGCATGCTGTGTGTGGAGGTCAGAAGACTGTGTCCTGGCGCTGGATCTTTGTTGCCGTGCGGGCTCCATGGATTTAGCGCAGGTCTCCATGCTGGGTCGCAGGTGCCTATACCTGCTGTTGGCCCCAGCACAGCTTCCTGGGCTCTTCTACTTGCCGTTCTATGGTATGGGTATTGTTTTTCATTTACTGATACAAATTCAAGGTCAATTTTGTGATGTGTATATTTCTCCTCTTGATTAAGTATTGTGCTTATACTGATCTTTTACAACGTAATACATAATTAAATATAGACTATAGATAGTTACTTATAATAGTCAGAACTTATCGTTAGGTAAGTTAGGTTTTCTAGATATATAGAGTTGTATTTGAGACAGATAGATAGTCTTCAAACCTTTCAAAGACCTTCAGAAAATGGCATTTAAAATGGTTTAGGGTTTTTCTTAACAATGAGAAATGTCTGCTCCTGGCAGCACCAATTATGTCTGAGAGGAAGATGGACATAGATGAAACTTGCTATGGAGTTTGCTTTCAACATGGCAAGATTAGCCATTTGGGCAAGAAACTGCTCTTGCCTGTACTGCTTGACTGTTGTTGTATAATCTGGACATGCAGGACCCACAGGAAAGTGACTGCTGAACTCAGTCTTACAGGGTTCCTGCTTCATGAAAGAGTCTACGAGACTTTCTGCAGGACACAGAAAAATGACTGACAGACTGCTGATGCAGCTGGACAGTTTGAAATTTTCTGCTTTGCTGAGAAATCTTCTGGACACATTGTGGTCTATGGGCTGAAAATGGATGCCCCAACATTGCAGAGGAACTTCGGGTGACTGTCCAGGTAGCAAGATGTCTCTGTCAATCCTAGTGTTTCTATATTATCCTTCTGTGGTCTTTGATGGAGTTGAAGACAGATAGTTATAGTTATAGTTTTCCTTAGTTATGATAAAAGATAACCTACATATAGAACTTTAGACTCACAAGGATGGGATGGATGATATTTTCTTTAAATCTTGCTAAAATATTGTAACTATGTTCTTACTTGGTAACTGTTCTGTTATATATAATTTGACTATGTTAAAGTTAAGACCTTTCTTTTTGTTTAAACAGAAAAGAAGAGATGATGGGGGAAGTCCTGTACATTTGTTAATAAAGCACTGTTGAGCCAATAGGAATCTAGATAGTTGGGGCTAGGAGTCCAGGAGGATTCTGGGAAGGAGAAACACAAGGAGAGTCAAGATGTAACCACCATGCGGTAGGAGGCCGGAACTACTCTCCGGTAAGAGAAATACTTAGATTAACAATTATGGGGTAATTACTTAAGTCAGAGCTAGCCAGTAAGAAACAAGCAAGGCCAACAGCTTCATAATTAATATAGCCTCCTGTGTGTTTATTTGGGACTGATGCGGCTCTAGAACCAGGCTGGCAGGAGGCTCCTCTCAAAAGAAAAAGCTTCTCTTAACACTGTTCTGCTCTTTTCTTTTTCTTCCCTCTTCACAATGGTGAGACTGAACCCAGGCCCGTGGGCATTCATTCCAGACAAGTGCTCTACCACCGAGCTTTCTCTCTGAATATATAGTACTCACATGTCTTGGTTTTTCTTTCATTTTGCTCCCCCCAATACTATACCCACAAGAATACCCTTTTGACCATTTCAATTAAAAGAGTGTTCTCAACACCCCCATCTTGCTTTTTTTCACTCAACATAACAGACAATAACTATTGACTTATTATCCATCTCCCACACAAGAATATAACTCCAGAGAGGCAAGATGTTATTCCATGCCTTTTTTCATCCAATTAAAAGTTGGAACAGGGCAGGCCAAGTTTTCAGTACATACTTCCTAAATAATGAATGAACATTCTGCTTCTAATTATTGACTGAGTTTGCTGTTTTCTTTGAGATAGGATCTTATTATGCAGTTCTGGCTGGCCTTGAACTCACAGCAATTCTGTCTTAACTTTCTGAAGTGCTGGGATTACAGCCATGAATTTTCTATTACTTTATATTTTGTTTTATATGTTCTGTGACACTACCATCAAATACTAATAATTTAATTTTCAAAAGCCTTCTGAACAGCATCTTTTCTGAGTCATTTAATTTAGCAGCTACCTTGTGCCACGAAGAATTCAAAGACAAGAGAAAAATGGCTGTTGGCTCCTGATGTGGCAAATATGGGTGTTTACCTAGCAATAACAACAAAACCAAGCATGGTTTGTGCTGACATTATTATCTAGAGTAATCCCTCTTAAAGTAAAAACCATCATGTCAAAACTGAGTCAGATTAGAAACCCTACATCAGCTCTTTGCTTCTCTCAGAGTATAGTTGGTTCTGGGGGCCGGGGGGGGGGATGTTAGGCCTAAGAGGTCTGACCTGGTACCAACCTCTCAGATCTCACCTTCCATTGCTCCTCATCTTGTGCTTACTGTGTGCCAAGCACACTGGCCTGCTGTCACCCTCAAGCAGAGGTTTGCGGCTGTTCCAGGACACGTGTACCAGCTGCTGCTGCCGCCTGAAATGCTCCTTACCTAAAAATCCATATGGCTAATCCCTTCAACCTCAGGCTCACGGATTGACACTGCTATTTAAAATAACAGCCTAGTACTCCATCCCCTCTATCAAGCACCGCTTCTCCCTGCAATGGTTTTAATTTTTTTTAACTTTTTTTTTTAAGATTTATTTATTATGTATACAGCATATATGCCTGCAGGTCAGACAGGGCACCAGATCTCATTATAGATGGTTGTGAGCCACCATGTGGTTGCTGGGGATTGAACTCAGGACCTCTGGAAGAGCAGTCAGTGCTCTTAACCTCTGAGCCATCTCTCCAGCCCCTGCAATGGTTTTAATTTTAATCTTACGAATTTTACGTGTGTGTGTGTGTGTGTGTGTGTGTGTGTGTGTGTTTGTTTTCTCCTTCTCATTTAAACGTAAACTCTATGAGGATAGGAATTTGTTATGTCCACTGACTCCAAGCAACTAGAACTGCAGCTGGCATATAGCAATCACACAATAATATTTGTGATTGAAGGTAAATAGTCTTTTGACCTTTATTCTTGAGAACTACTCATGTCTGGCCTCTCCTTTTGTTTTTGTTTGTTTGTTTGGCTTTTTGAGACGGGTTTTGCTGTGTGTAGTTCTGTCTGTCTTGGAACTTCTTTTGTAGTCTAGGCTGGCCTCAAGCTCACAGACATCAGTCTGCCTCTGCCTCCCAAGTGTTGGGATTAAATTTGTGCACCACTGGGCTAGAGGATGGCTCAGAGGTTAAGAGCCTTGGCTGCTCTTCCAGAGGACCGGAGTTCATTTCTCAGCCACATAGTGGCTCACAACCATCTCTAATGAGATATGGTGCCTTCTTCTGGCCTGCAGACAAACATGCAGACAGAACACTATAAACATAATAAATAAATAAAAATCTTTAAGAGAAAGAAAAAAGGTGTATGCCACCACACACACTGCAAATACCTGAATTTTGCATTTAAATTTCATTTTGAATCAATTATATGGCTTATCAGTGTACTTAATGTCTATGCTTCCCAGTTTAAAGAATACATTCTCACAGAGGAATCAAGGGGATGGGATGGGAAAAAGCAGAAGTGTGCAAGTTAGATGGCGCATTAGTTATTTAGAGTTTCCTGCGGTTTTAGAAGGAAAATCTTTGCTCCCTCCTCTATCTCTGGCCATTAGTCAAGGCGCTCCTTCGTTCATGGCACATAAGTGAAATTTAAGAGGACACACCCCGCTCCCAAAGAACCAGCTATCAAGAACCTGCCTAGTAGCTGTATCAAACTATAGTGACAAGACACAGTAACGAAGCCGCGGCACCCAGACCCCAGACTAGAAACAGTTTGGGAAGTTATCTTGCTAGCTATTTCCTTCCTTCTCTCTGATGCTGTGGTGCTGGGATTAAACTTGGAGCTTCCTGCGTGTGAGGCAAACACTAATCCCTAGTCAGCTGTTTTAGTAAGAAACCACATAAAGTAACTACTATCCAGCAAGGCGCTCAGTGTCAGCTGGTCCTTACCTGGTAATGCTGAAGCTCAGCCACAGCAGCCCTCAGTGGAGACCAAAGCATGCTATGGTTAAGCCAGTTACCCAGGGAGAAAGACAGATGTGCCATAAAATGCCACAAAACTTAAAGCCAGAGCCAAAGCCATACTGAGAAATACTTTGGTAAGTCTGAAAAGAAATAAATAACACCTCTATTAACTATTGCTTGAACAACTTATTAGAGGTTTGGAGGAATATAGTCAGCGATAGACTTTCAGGGTTTAGCACTGCATACTGCACACAGTGGCTCTGGATTGAAGGTGATAGCTACAGGCCCAATTACTGACATTTAAGAAATAGGTTAAGTGGAGACCTATCGCAGGAAAGTGGAGAGAAATGAAGAAACTGCAGCGTTTGGTAGACACAGCCATTCTATGGCAAGCACTGAGCCTAGCCCACAGATCTCTCCTTTGAGTGTTTCCACGGACCAGCCTACCTACCTCATCTTTATGTAAAACTAAACATCCTCAAAATACTGACTACCATTCTGAGTCACACTGAGTTTATGCAGCTCCCAGTTCTCAACACAGAAAGAAACTGCTTCACAGTCTGAGTAGGTGACCAAGCCTGGGTGCAACGAGACAATCATTTGAAATGATTGAGATGAAAAGTCTGATTTTGCCCCTAAGTACAGGCCACAGGGCTTAGTAGGTGAATAGATATGGACTGTTCTACTAGGATGGTCATGTTTAGGGTAGCTGATGACTCCTCCTCCTCCTCCTCCTTCTCCTCCTCCTTTTCTTCTTCTTCTCTTCCTCCTCCTCTTCTTCTTCTTCTTCTTCTTCTTCTTCTTCTTCTTCTTCTTCTTCTTCTTCTTCTTCTTCTTCTTCTTCTTCTTCTTCTTCCTCTTCCTCCTCCTCCTCCTCCTCCTCTTCTTCTTCCCTCCTCCTCCTCCTCGTCCTCCTCCTCCTCCTCGTCCTCGTCCTCCTCCTCCTCATCCTCCTCCTTTCAGTTTGTTACTTTGGAAGGAGAGAATGAACGAAAAAAAAAAAAAAGGTCCCAGTAATGATCAGTAATGATCTTACCACATCAATCTCAGTGTTGGAATGTCCCATGTTACAAACGATGCAGCTATTCTTCATACGGTCCAAGTGCTCTCTGGTTACCACATTCTTGTTACCTTAAAATCAGAAGAGATACATGAAAAAGGATGAAGTTAGACCCCTACCTGATATAATATAAACGTGCGCGCGCGCACACACACATACACACACACACGCAAAATCAGCATATATACAATGAAATATATAAAAATCAATTCTACATAGATCATATTCTTTTTTTTTCTTTGCTTTTTAACAGGGTTTCTCTGTGTAGCCCTGGCTGCTCTGGAACTTGCTCTATAGACCAGGCTGGCCTTGAAATCACAGAGATCTGTCTGCTTCTGCCTCCCGAGTGCTGGGTTCAATTCCCAGAACCCACATAGAGGCTCACAGTTACCTTTAACTCCAGTTCCAAAGGATTTGACACCCTCACCCAGATATGCATGCAGGCAAAAGAACAATGCACATACAATAAAAATAAACTGTATAAAAAAGTTTGCCTATTTTATAACTAACATAACCACTTCCACTTTTTCTAACTATGAGTTTTTCTCTTTCCCTGTCATAATTTATAGGGACTACACGGAAGCATATTTGTTTTTTGTTTATTTTTTGAGGCAGGGTCCCAGCCCCCATGGGGTCTCTGTGAGTTGCTTGTTAGCCAATAACCACAGGTGCATCCTGTTTTCTAGTCCTGGCTTACAGCTCCACTGGAATCAACCTCTAATTATGAAAACATGAACTCTTACACCTGGAGTTTCTCCACTGTGCTGTAAGTCTGTATATAAGGCTGCTCCCTCCTTGCAATAAAACACACACACATGTATTCTTTTAGCACAAACAGCCGGACGTCTTGTCTTTTATTTAAATCTCTAGGCTTTTGCCAGATTCGTTAGACTTGCTCATGGTGCAGGCGCCACAGGGTCTCACTATGTAGCTCTGGCTGTCCTGAACTCACTATGTGGACCAGACTGGCCTCAATTAACAGAGGTACTCCTGCCTCTACATCCTGAGTGTTAGGATTAATGGCATGTGCCACCATGCCCAGCCGAACATTTGCTTTTAGGGTGAAATAAAAGATAGCAGGGCTGAGAATGGAGTTCAGTGGTTCAGTTCACATTCATCATGCTTAAAGTCCTGGTAATAATCATGCATGGCACATATTTCAGTTTCTAGCTATGTCCTAGGAGGTTAAGGATGGGCAGACACATAGCAGAAGTAAAGGACGGAGAAAAACTTTCCTGTAGGGATGACCTAAAGGTGTATGCGTGGGCATAGGTAGAAAAAAGTAAGATAGACCTTTTTTCTATCTACTGTCTCTGGGGTGTGTGTGTGTATGTGTGCACATGCATGTGCACACGCATGCGTTCCTTTCTGACTCCACAGTCTGAAACTATAAGTGCATGCCACCATGCCTGTCTTTTAAAAAAGATTATTTTATGTGTATGAATGTTTTGTCTGCATGTATGCATGTGTACCACATATATGTCTGGTACCCACAGTTAGAAGAGGGTGTCAGATCCCCTGGAACTGGATGGCTGTGAGCCACCATGTGGGTATTGGGAATCGAACTTGGGTCCTCTTTAAGAGCAGTAACTGTTCTTTGTTGTTTTTCAAGACAGAGTTTCTCTGTGTAGCCCTGGTTGTCCTGGAACTTGCTCTGTAGACCAGGCTGCCTCAAACTCACAGAGATCTGAAAGGCATGTGCCATCACTGCCCACATGTAACAAGTGTTCTTAAGCACTGAACCAACTCTCCAGCCACCCTGACTTTTTTTACATGGGTTCATGGAATCAAATTCAGGCACTCATGTTTATTAAGGTAAGTATTTTACCAAATGAGCCACTCCTACCTCTCAACCCCATTTCTGGCTTTAATAGTTTGGATTTATTCAGAATATTTTCAAACACCTTCCAGTTGCTCCATGAAAGCATTCCAAAATCTTAATCTACCTCCCAATATATAACAACTATACCTGTACAAGTAATGACAATGTCCACTTGTCGGATGACCTCATTTAATTTCACTAGTCGAAATCCATCCATACTGTAGAAACAAAGCAGGATCAATTAAACTAAGCCAGTAGATAGGGGTCTGTCCTTAAAAGCTAGCTCCAAGTTCTTTGGGTAGTTACAATGTCACTTCTTCGATAGCTGGAATGTGTCCAGGGTGTTCATTTTGCTTGGTTTTGAAGACAGTGTCATTGTATAGTCCAGGCTGGCCTCAAACTCAGGATCCTCTAGCCTCCTCCTCCCAAGCACTGGAGTTACAGGCGTGTGCCACCACATCTGGCTTGAACTACTCTTCAGCCAAAAGTCCAGATCATTCCCTTAGTTTACACAGGAGAAATGTAAAAGCTCCCTGCGCATCATTGCAACTAGTTCTTCCTAGTAATAGAGAGCCAAGCAAGGGCTGCTGTGAGATTCCCAAACCAGATTTCTAGAAAAAGACATTTGGTCATTGAATCTATTCTTACTGAACCTTTCTCCCTGTTATTTTCTTAGGGTCTTACAATACTTGATTCCTCTGCCACATTAAACATAATTTACCTGTTTAAAACCTAGCCCTCCCTTTAGGTGTCGGGGATTGAACCCAGGACATTGTACCCAATTTGGCTGTATTCTCAGCCTTCCCCATATTTAAACGGTGGCACTTCACTGGACTCTTCTCTGCTCTTTCAGAACCCTCCCCGCCAAACAGGGTTTCTCTGTAGCTTTGGAGGCTGTCCTGGAGCCAGCTCTTGTAGACCAGGCTGGTCTCGAACTCATAGAGATCCACCTGCCTCTGCCTCCCAAGTGCTGGGATTAAAGGCATGCACCACCACAGCACTGCTTGATCCTTTAATTCCTTTAAAGTCGCTTGAGTTTATGGCCCCACACAAACTTTATGGTGATTTTGAGAAAGGTCTGAACTTACTTTGCATCCTAAGCTAGCCTTAAAATTGAGGCACTTCTCTTGAGGTGCTGGGACTATAGGTGTGTGCACCACGCCTTTTTTTTAATCATTATTATCAAAGGGGCAGGGATTACATATGTTGGGAGACGTTAATGGAGTATTAGTTCATTAAACCAAAACATCCTGCTACTGTTTCCACAGGAATTCTAAATTTTCTCTTCTCTTGGAGCAGAGCTCCTTGACTTTTGCAAGACAGAAGTGTGGAGTTCACTTAGCAGCTTCCCTAGATCTGGGTCTGAGACGTGGCAGTGTGCAATGTAAAGGAGTGCAGCATCCGTCCCTTTGCGTGCTCACCAGGCTTGCAGGGCACAGATGGGGTCAATCTCAGTCACATACACAATGGAACCCATGGCTTTCAGAGCAGCGCAGCACCCCTTTCCCACCTGAAAAGGAGAACACACACAACAACAAAGAAGTCAGCCAGAGCACACGTCTCAAAGCTTCTGGAAAGGAAGGCTACCGTCCTCTCCTCCCCTCAAAGTAATTTTGCTGAATAGATTCGTGCTCTGGAAAAACCAAGAAAAACAAGTAAGTGTAGTTCATAAACAAAGCCCTGGTCCCTGCTCAGCACATTCATATGCATGAGGACACCCACATTCACGATTTATAATCAAAACAGGCTAAAAGAACATCACAGACAGAGGTGCTGGAACAAGTCAGAAAATCAACGGGAGAAGAGACACAAAGGGGAAGGCGTGGCACTTAACTGGAGACTTGTAAAGTTATGTGTTCCCATCTAAAGCGGTGCCTGAATGCACTTATGTCTGTGTGTAAAACTCCGGAGCATTTCATCAAAATACATTTGAAACATCCAACAAGCAGAAGGTTGCACTTTACCTCTCCATAGCCACAGACCACCACTTGCTTTCCACCAAACATCATATCTGTTGTCCTTTTGAGTCTGGGGGAACAAAAGCAAAGCCCAATCATTAAATCTGAAGAAATGCTTCTTTGTTTCTACCTGAGGCTTGTGCTTTTGTTCTGAGTTTTTTCATTTTTGAGGGAAAACAGTAAAGTCCATATTTGTCCATCTAACCAGTACTGCACATGCATGAGTCTTGCTGTAACCACTCTAATCTTCCTCTCCTTCGGAGTAGTGCAAAAAGATGTAATTACACAGTAACTTGTTAACACAAAAGCAATGTGCACTTACATTGCGAATGGATATGGGCAAAACAGAAAAGATAAAATAAGTAAACAGTAGTTTTAGTTTAGGAAGTGACAAAATTCTGGCTTAATAGAAACATGGTTCTAGTTTACTGTTTAAGAAGACTCCATTAGTAATGCATTTAGCAGTATCAGAAGGCCAGTTGCTTCTACACTGATTTAATAGGGAAAGTAATGGACAATAAGTCAGAGAGGCTCTGAGTGAAACTTGCTGATGCTGACTATATAGACAGTGAGCTTTCTGGGGCTGATTCCAGAGCAGATATGTTCTACCTTAGTATCTGGTTCTCTGTGAAACTGATCCTTGCTGTCTCCATGATTTCTGGAAAGAACATCTAGGAATGAATTCTAGTTTCTCTTTGGGTACAATGAGATGACATCCTCTGAGAATCTTAATCGAGACAAAAGGATTTCAACTAAAATCCAGTCTATTCTGAGACTCACAGTCCCTCCAAATACTTGTAAGACTTCCTACCTATTTTTCCGTCTGCTTGCCCCTTATGGTGCAAAAGGGTCTATAAATGCCCCAGGGAAAGTAAGAATCCTATTTTTAAAAAATGCTTGGCAACTCCACTCCACAGATGCAGCTGCATGTACCTTGATGAAGCTCACTTGACACCACTTAAGTGTGAGGGTGCGGCGCTCCCACTGACGAGGTGAGTCAGAAAGGCCACGCATTAGCAGAGTGGCACAGCAACGACACTCAAGAGGACATATTTCTGGACCTCCTTTCCTTTGGCCACTTTTCCCAAGCTTTCCTCACCCTCCCGTAGGAAGTACCCTCTCTTTGTAACTCCACATAGTGGTGTGCAAACTTCATTCCCTGCAAATGACAGCAGGCTACAGACACGGGTGGATTCCAGTTAGGCAGTGATTTTCCTGTGATCTCAGGGTCTTCACAGATAGAGGACAGAAAAGCTTCATTAAAGGGAACATAGGCTATCTGGTGCTATTTAAGAGTCATGCCAATCTCTTTAGTTCTTTGGTTCTTCTAGCCCCAGAACCCTCCAAGAAATGAAACACTATTTTATAATGAGAAAATCCTAGGAGCTACTGGGCAATCTTTGTTCCTCCAAGTGGAACCTCAGTCACCACCACGCAAGTAGAGGTCAGCAGCGCCTCCCTTGCTGCTTAAGGTGCTGCATGTGTGGTGGCAAATCTTGACTGTAAACTTGGCAGGATTTAGAATCACAGCACCAAATTTCTGGACATGTCTCTGAGGAGTTCTAGCTTATGTTAACTGACGTAGGAAGACCCTCAGTGGAGGCAGTGCCATCCACAGATGGGGTCTTGGGCCAGATAAGGATAAAGATGCGTCAGCATGCCTCTCCTTGCTAACTGTGGATGGGATGCAACGTGACCCGCAGCCTCAAGTTCCTGCTGCCAGGACTTCCCTGTCATATTTGATTGTGCCCTAAATAAACCTTCCCAAAGTTGCCTTTGTCAGGTATTTGGCCCTTGCAACATGTAAAGTAACTAATACAGCAATTAACCATCCCGGAACTATAGTAGATTAACCATTAATTAACACCTGCCTCATGTGGATGCTCTCTTAGCACATGCCTGTCTCCCCCACCCCTTTTCTCTCTGGTTTGTGAGACAGGATCTTATGCAGCACAACATGGTCTCAAAATGTGTTACATAAGAGAGATTAGCCTTGAACGCTCAATTCTCCTCCCTAGCCTCTGAGTGCTGGGATTACAGATGAGCGCCTTCGTGCCCGGCTTCTACTGCCCCTTTCTCTGGAACAGTTTATTCTCCTTTCATCTCTCTTGCTCTCATTTCTGAGAGAAGTGCCCTTGACCCAATTGCAGTTCTGCACCGTCTGCAGGTACCAATGCTCTTACTGCTTAGCAAATGGAGATGAATAGCTGACACTTTCCTGTTCTTCCCCGTGAAACCTAACCTTAACTCTTGCTCAACTGCTTCTTTCTTTGTCACGTTTCAACTTTAGAACCTTTCTTATCTAAGGAGTTAACTATGGTCGGGAGGGATTCTATCCATTTTTCTGAGCTAGTAGAGTTATCTTCATGTATCTCTTACTGATCCTGGTATAGGTAGGTCAACTTTAGGTTCACAGATCTGGTACTTGAAAAGTCTAAAAGATAGCTGTGGGTAGATAAGTATTTTAATGAAATATACACATTTCTAAGAATTTTGTCAGAACTGAGGCATCTGTCACAATGACCCTTACATGTGGACACTTTATGGCTGACCATTGGACTAAGAATTGATTAAAATGTTTAGTCTCTCTGATACTACTGATTCCATAATAATATAGTAGGTAACAACAGTTACAATGTGTATTGACTATTCTACCAAATGAAAATAAAACAAAAACAAACAAACAAAAACCAACCAGCAAAAACCTTCCTAAGATCAAATTTAACTTTATTCTTAAGCTTACTATACAGAGAGTTCTATAAAGACAGGCAAGGCACTGGGCGTTGGTGTCGCACGCCTTTAATCCCAGCACTCGGGAGGCAGAGGCAGGCGGATCTCTGTGAGTTCAAGGCCAGCCTGGTCTACAGAGCGAGTTCCAGGACAGCCTCCAAAACAATACAGAGAAACCCGGTATCGAAAAACCAAAAAAAAAAAAAAAAAAAAAAAAGACAGGCAAGGTGCTGGGTTTGGTAGCACATGCCTGTTTCCCTCAGAAGACTGAAGCAGAATTGTTATATTGAGGCCAGGCTCTGCTATGTGTCACATTCCAGGTCAGTGGGGTCTACATAGTGAAATACCACCTCCACTTTCCTTTAAAAGACAGTAACAACCCTGAGCAACTCATCTTGTCTCATTTAACCCTCGTTAACAACTCCATGAACCAAGTCATAAAGTTACCGTTTTACAGATGAGGAAATATGCAGAGAATAAGCAAGGGATTATAGCTAACAAATAAATAGTGGATCCAGCATTTAAACTGAGGTCTTTCTGGATGAGTGACTGTGACGTGTCGTCACTCAATCTGCATGGTTAGGAATTCAGTCCACAGAATCCCATCTCGAGGATTTCTCTTATAAAATTACTTGGGGGCTATGATTTGGGTCTAGAATGTTCCCAAAGGTCTACATGCCAAAGACCTGACCCCCTGCTGGTATTACTGAAATGTGTTAAAGACTATAGGAGGTGGAGCCTAGTGGGAGGTTTTTTAGGAATTGGAAACAAGCTTGTGAAGAGGGAGAGGGGCCCAGCTCCTTCTTTGCTCTCTTTTTATGCCCGCTCAGAAGAGAATCAGCTTTGCTTCATCACGTGATCCTAACTAATTACATGCTACCTCACTGCATGTCCCCAAGGCAAGTATGGACATCTGCCCACAGACTAACACCTTCAAAACCCTGAGCTAAAATCAAAAGGTGGCTACATCAGGTGTTAGTTACACTAATAGAATGCTGACTGCACATGGCTGAAGACGGAAGCCGAGCACTGTCAAACCTACAATCCTCATAAAGCAGGGAAACGGGAAATGCCTCACAAGTCTCTAGACAGCCAAGAAACTGTATGTCAGTGATAACATAAGAATTATATGTGTGTTACAGGAACTATGACCTGAAGTAGGATCATCTGAAACCTCTTTCAAAATCATCTTTATGCCATTTTAATGACACAAAGTCTAACAGGATCACAAAGTATGAACTCTGCTGACCAATAGAAGCCAATCCCATTTCTTTTTTAAAATTTTATTTGTTTTTATGTGTATGAACGTTTTGTCTGCATATACTTTTGTGTATCATGTGTGTGCCTGGTACCTGTGGAAGCCAGAGGAGGATACCAGATCCCCTGCGACTGGAATCATAGATACTTGTAAACTGCCATGTCAGTACTGGGAATCAAACAGGTCCTCTGGAAGAGGGGCCAGGGCTCTGAATCACTAAGTCATCTCTCCAGTGCCCAGTCTCATTTCTTAACTGAGAGAGATTTTCTTGTAATGGTAATGGCAACAGAGCTCTAGGTTATAAAGTCCTGGGTGTCAAGTGGTGAGAAATGAAACAGTTCCAGAAATAACCAAAGAAGCTGGAACCTTCACACAATAACCCAAGATCATCTCAAAGATAACAAACATTACCCATCAAGAATAGATTCACGGCAACAATAGAGGTTATCAAATTTCTGTTTAGTGACTGAGTCATTGACGTTCATGGCTGGAACACACAGCTTCCCAGCTTTGGACAGTTGGTACAGCCTGGGAATGGGAGAATTAAAGAAGAACATAAAACAATGAGACATTACAATCTACCAATGGACTGAGCATGAGAACATAAGACATAACTAATTTCATCCTACTAAAAAGATACTGAGAAACATAATGTTTCTAGAGGCTGTCCACAGTTTGGTAATAAGGCTTACATTCAAAAAAATCATGTAGAGAAAATATTTTATCCAACTAAATTTCAAGCTCTTAAATGAAAAACTTTTAATTCCATATCAATATTTTTTACTTTACTTTTTTATAGGCAAGGCTTCTGCTTTGTGACTGGGTCTCACTGTGTAGCTCTGACTGGCCTGGAACTTACTATGTAGACCAGGTTGGCCTTGAACTCAGAGATCCACTGGCCTCTACTGGCATCAAAGGCATGTACCCATTACAAGACTGAGATTTTAAAAAACTTTTTGTTTTTATGTGTATGAGTGCTCACTTGAATGTATGCATACATAACACATGTGTATCTGGTGCCCGTGGAGGCCAGAAGAGGGTGTTGGGTCCTCTAGAACTCAAGTTGCAGATGTTGTGAGATTCCAGGTAGGTACTGGAACCAAACCCAGGTTCTTTGAAAGTGTAGTAAGGGCTCTTAGCCATTGAGCAGTCTCTCCAAGATGCATATAAATTTTATATCCCTTTTAATGATAAAAGAAGCAATTTGCGAGCTGGAGAAGTGACTTGGCAGTTGAGAGTATATTTTCTGCTTCTCCAGAAGGTTCACATTGGATCCCACCAAGTGGCTTACAATTACCTGTAACTCCAGCTTTGTGAAACTTATTTTTTTAATTAAAAAATTTATTTATTTTTTACATTTAACACTCTCTTCTGGCCTTGATGGTCACCCACAAACAGCATGCATTCACACAAAACACACATGCATACATATAAATAAAAACATATAAATAAATCTTAAAAATAGTTACGAAAGAACTAATTTTAAATATTTTCAAAATCCAGCATAATCCTACTACTTTTTTTTCTTATTTTTTATTACTTTTTTTAGAAAAGAGCTTGCTTCACATGTCAATCAATCCCAGCTCCCTCATAATCCTACTACTTTACGGTAATGACGTTTACTTCTCAGTAGTTTTAAGCTCAACAATAACATAGAAACTCATTAATTACATAGCTATATAAATGAGTCTAAAACTTATCTCCATTAAAAAGGAGAAGTATTTGTCTTATTAGAAATTCATGGCCAGGCGGTGGTGGCGCACGCCTTTAATCCCAGCACTCGAGAGGCAGAGGCAGGCAGATTTCTGTGATTTCTAGGCCGGGCTGGACCGACAGCCTCCAAAACAATACAGAGAGACTCTGTCTCGTAAAACCAAAAGAAAAAAAGAAAAAGAAATTCGTTCCTAGGGCTAGTGAGGTGGTTCGGTGGGTAAAGGCTCCCGTCAAACCTGATGATCCGAGTTCAATCTGAGGAGCCCATGTGATGAGAGGAAAGACCCGATTTACAGTTTTCCTTTCTGGCATCCACATTTGTGACATGCTAGTGAGCGCGCACGTACACACACACACACACACACACTTTAAAAATGCAGCCCTTTCTAATTTTATTGGTGTTTTCCCTGCTTGTATGTCTGTGTTAGGGTGCTGGATCTCCTGGAACTAGAGTTATACAGTCATGAGCTGCTAAATGGGTGCTGGAAATTGAACCGGGTCTTTTGAAATAACAGCAATGCTCCTAACTGAGCCATCTCTCCAGCCCCAAGCTTCACTTTCATGTAATCAAAAGGATGAGAAAACAGTAAAGTGGTTTGCTTTGAACTGATTTCCCTAAAAGTTTATTTCACACTTTAAAATTCTTTATGGGTGAATAAGACTAACAGAAATGATTCTGATTTTATCTAAGGAGTCACTGCTCCTTTGTGATGGGACCCAAAGTCCTTGCTGTCTGTGAGACATGGGCTCTGTGAGAGTATGAGTTTTGTATACTGTGGGTCTCTAGCATGGAACAGTACCAGGCTTCTTGTAATAATTCAACAAATATTTATTGAATGAATTAAACTTGTCCAAATAGAGCAAGCAGTCAGTGCACTGCAATAACAAGAAAACGTGAGGCCCCTACTTGCTTCTCCATCCAAGCTGTTCACTATTTTAGGTTGGTAATTTGTGTTATTAACTAAAATAAGTGCCTCGGCTTAGACACGTTCCCTTAGAGAAAGCTCCAGTTTTTAGCATAATGTGTTCTCAGGTAGGTGATTATAAGACTCTATATCTAAGCTAGGGATGACTGTTAACTCTTACCTGTGAACTCCAGTGACACTCTCCTCCACTATGCCTTTGATTTTCTTAAACATGTTGGGATACTTTTTATAAATCCAGTGAGTGAGATCTCCTCCATCATCCAGTATCTGCAACAGAAGCGTCAGGAATGTCATTTGCCTTACTAAAGGCTCAGGCTTCAGTCCTATCTCAGGGTCCTGCATCCCAGTTCCTAATTACCAGTGTATAGATACCTCAAAATTTCCATATACTCATGAAAAGCAACCTAAAGTCAGAGTTACTACAATAACCTACCAAATAAAAGAGTCATTATACTCAAAGAAAAGAGGAGAGAAAGGCCAACTATAATTCTCTCAGTCAGATGACCCTACCATATAACATATCTACCTTCCCAAACCGCATTGCAACATGAGAATTTTCTCATGGATAATCAGTTCAGGAGGCCATCAGGACCTCCAGTTCTTGAATATACTTCAGATCTTCAGAAAACTCATTTCTAACTGCTGATTTTAGTACTTTAAATAAATTCAGCTAAGGTTTAGTTTAAATAAAAGGACAGATAATTAGTCTCCCCCTCTCTCAGAACAATGGCTTTTAAAACTGAAGTTGTTAATCCTGTGCTTCTCACAAAGCACAGGCCCTCTCCCACCCAGACTCTCAGGCAGCACTGGAGGGCTTTGCCTAGCTCAACCTCTCACTCTGCACAAGCCAAATTAAAAATAACCAGGGAGCCGTGCAGCACGTAGGTGTGCACGCATGCTTCTGAGCAGCTCGTGACTATTTCAGGTTGGGATTAAAGATGAATACAATGCTGTGCCCACTACAGCTTCCATCAGCAGGGGACAGCTTCTGAGTTATAATCAGGCCCACGACAGTGGCCCTTCAGTCCTACAGGACGGTTAGAAGAGCTCATCAGGGCTTCTCTAAATCGCTACACCTCTCCTGGAGGTCTCCACAGATCAGTCATTCTCTGCTGGCATGCATTCTTCTTAAACTTCTAGAATATCAGCATTACAATATCAAAAACACCACCCTGAATCCCAGGGAACACAAACAACCAACCCCAGGTCTATCATCTGATCTTTTGCTTCTGCTCCTACTATTAATCTATTTTATCTAATTCAATCAAATCTTGCTTGAGGGTAGGTACCATGCCAAGACTCTCATTAGAACTCTTAGCCTGGCTACACATCTATAAATAGAGCCCCATAAGAACCCAAAAAGAGACCAATAATACAGATCAAGGGTAGAGTCCCTAGTTTCAATCCCACTGTTGCCCCTACCCACCCCCAAAAGGCTGGGGAGATACTTTAGTTAACGAAGTGCTTGCCTTGCGAACATCAGGACCTGAGTTTAATCCCTAGCACCCACATAAAAAGTCAGGCACAGTAGTGCAAGACCTGAAAACCCAGTGCTGGGGAGGCAGAGATGGGACCAGCGTAGTCTAACTGTGGCGTCCCAGGTCCCAGTGAGAGACCCTGTCTCAAAAAACAAGGTGAAGGCTCCCGTGGAATGACAGCTGAGGTTGTCTTCTGGCTTCCATGCATACTTGTATATACATACATACACACATACACCACCCCTCCCCAGTCTTCCTACATAAAAGAAACCAAAGAGCTTCTCTCTGCTGTTCTGTATGCATGGATTCCATGAGGTTTTCACCTGCTGCCTCTGATCCCTAGCTACAAAGAACAATAGACAAAAACCCAAGTAATTGGCAACTCTGTGGGTAAGTCCAACTATGCTCATTTACTTTTCCCTTTATTATTTATCTACTTATTGGGCTGGCTGACCACCAAGCCCTAGGGCTCTCCCTGTCTCCTCATCCCCAGTGCTGTCCTAATGAATGCCTCCTACCACACCTGGCTTTTTTCACATGGGTGCTGGGATCCTAACTCCGCTCCTCATGTCTGGGCAACAAGCCTTTACCCAGTGAACCAGCTCCCCAGCCTGACCTGGAACTCTTGATCCTCCTGTTGAGATCACAGGCGTGCATTACCACACCTGCCTTACACAGTGCTGGGGATCAAATGCAGAGCTTCATACATGCCAGGCAAATGCTCTGCCAACTGAGCTATATCCCAGCGCCTACTTTTCCCTTTAAACAAAGGTATCTGGCACAGGCCAGGAGTTGCTTTTTATAGTATTTATTTAATGATTGCAGCCTATAAATTCCCTGTGCTGTCCTACTGCAGAAAGTTCTTGACCTCAAATAATCTTCCTCTTCCTGAGGTTGGAATGTAAGGAAAGTATTGGGTCTTGGCCAAAGATGAGTTCTGTTTTCTGAGGTAAAACTATTTTGATCCTTGTAACTGTCTTTACTAACTTTCCTAGTGGCTGTGTTGGCTCCACACACTGTAAAGGCTCTCTGGGTACAACGCCACAGCCTCTCTGTATTCAAGACTATAAGATTAATTTTCTTCCCAAGAGACATGTGCCCCACCCCTATCTTCTTCATGTGTCAGTCAGCCTCCCTCCTTGTCACCTAAAATTGCTGGGATGAGCTGACTCATCTTGGAGGCACCATCATTCGCTCCTTCCTCAAATCTGCTCCATGTGACCTGTACCCAAGTGAAGCCCGAGTTTTTAGCTGTCAGCAGCAAGGAGTCTCCCCACGCCCCCTGCTGATTCTCTAATTTCTTTTTTTATTAAATTTATTTTTAATTTCATTTTATATTCCAACCAAAGTTCTCCCTCCTACCACTCAATTCTCTAATTTCTTTCTTTGTTTGTTTGTTGGTTGGTTGGTTTTACAAGACAGGGTTTCTCTGTGTAACAGCCCTGGCTGTCCTGGAACTTGCTTTGTAGATCAGGCTGGCCTTGAACTCACTGAGATCAGCCTGCCTCTGCCTCCCAAGTGCTGGGATTAAGGGCGTGTACCATCACTGCCCAACTGATTTTCTAGTTTCTTAATAAAATAATGCAGAAATGTTAATAAGGCAAGGAAATGTGTCATATTTTTATGCCTTTTTCTTTCTCTATGAATGTAATTATGATTTTAGTTTTAAGACAGTGTGTGTGCTTATTTAAATAGTGTAAATCCAGGGCTTCAAGCATGCTAAACCAGGGCTCTACCCCTGAATTATACATAACCCAGTCCTACATTTGTTTTTTTTTTAATTTTTATTCTCAGGCTGGGGACTAAACCTAGGACTTTATGCATGTCAGGCAAAAGCTCTCCCACTGAGCTACATCCACAGCCTCTCAGACTGGATCTTTTAAACAATGAAACAAAAAGTAAAGTGTAAAGGGAAACCCCTAAACCTCCTGGTCATCTTTTACAGAATAAAGAGAAGAAATGTGCACTTGGAAGTGCTCTAAGCATACTAAAAACTCAGTGTGAAGATTCCCGAGAAAGCTAAGTGCCTCAGGAGCTCCAAGGCGCCTGTGCCTTCCCATGTGTCTGTTTGCTGGTATTTGTGGCAATTGTTACTGGAGCAGCTATGAACAGCAGTAGGGGACAGAATGCATCACTTCTGCTTGTTATCCAGTCATATGTGAATGTGAACCCTGGGCAGCATTTTCACCACACTGAGCTCATCAAGACTCTGCAGTGTTAAGAAGTCCAGTATCTAGAGGTATCCTAAGTAGATTCATTGAATTTTGCTGGAAACCCAGATACATCAAACAGAAATGGGTCTATTTTCCTTCCTTCTTGTGGGAAACCCTTACCCAAGTCAGTCTCCCCGCCCCCCCACCCCCCATCCCTGCCCTTATGAGCTGCACTAAGGGAAATCTGACCCACCATGTTTGGCTGCCAGCCCTCCACATTCACACATCTGTCAATGCACCACCAAAAGTCATCTTCTGACTCCCCTTTCCAGGCAAAGACAGGAAATCCTAAAAATAATAAAAGAACAAAGAGAACCCATTAAAGGCTATAAAAGGGCCAATCCCCAAATTTTAACAAGAAAGTGCCAATTCCCGCCAATTCCTAACTTTCTCGTTTTGCTATATTTTTTTTGGATTAACTTCCATCACTGGCTAATACTGCCTTCAATCCCTTATCCACTCCTTTTCCTGTAGTGGCTATTCGGCTCTTCTTGGCTCAAAAAGGACAAGCAACAAGACTGTAAGAGTTGCTAAAAATAGGACTAACAGGAAAAAGAAGAATCCAGAAATAAGTACTTGATCCAGAGTCAAACTGTCAGTCTCATCATCTCCCAAACCCACTTGTTTTTCTTCTGTTACTCCACAGGCCTCACTGGAAAACTCTCATACTTCATCTACTCAAGTGCTTGCTCCAAATCACAGCCTAGTGAACTGTAGTGGTCATTATGCAAGCTGCTTAACTCAGCTGGTGAGAACCAAATGAATGTAAGCTCTTCTAAAGCCATTGTTTCTGTATTTATGTATTACTGAACATAGATTTATTTACTTTTGCAGCGTTGGGGAATGAAGCTAGGATTCACAGAGTACACTAAGCAAGTGCTCTATCCCTGAACTTCATCCCTACCCCTAGTTATTTATTCATTTATCATTTATTCATTTAGGAAGAGTTGAGACATGGAGTTCAGGACAGCCTCAAACTTGCAGCCATTCTCATGCCTTACCCTTCTGAGGGCTGGGGTTGCAGATGTGCCATAATTCCCAACTTTTTAAATGTTTTCATTTTGAGATAAGATTTTACCAAGCTTCCTAGGCAGGTTCTGAACTATGATCTTTCGCCTTCAACCTTCCTAATAGCTGGGATGACATGAATATGTCACCATGCCTGGCCTTAAATATGGGTTTATAAGTAAAGCCAGTCATTTTATTATCATTCATGTAGCCATGCTATCTTCTCTATCACAATATAAATTCTGAAAGTAAAGATATTTCTCATTATCATTAGAGTCAATAATCATTTGCCAAAAAGAGAAAGAAATGAATGTCTATGTAAAATTCAGTGGATATATATTTAATATTTGTATAATTTTCTATCATAGATAAACAGTACAGTTTTATAAATAAATGAAAGAGCTAATGACATGGCAAGATTGCTAGCAAAAGGAGAGATAAGTATATTCTGTAGAATTTTCTTAGAGTCTCCCAAGAGCTCAGAAGCAGTTTTGGTACTGCTACACATAGAGAAGACAGAAAGCTACAGAATCCAAATTTCTTTCTTTTGTCCTTCAAGCATTTTAGTGGATATTGTGATCAGTTAACCTGCCAGGCCACGTCCTCTCTACTGCTGAAGCAGGCACGTTAAACATCAGATCAGGATGAGCCACTTGCTGGAAAACCTTCAGGGCCACAGACTGGCTCAAGTGTTACATACTACCTTGAGTGGAGCACTGTTCACTGGTGGCCTATTAGTAAATCAACTCCAAGTGCCATAACTAGAGCATTAGACATAGGTAGCTATTTGTCAGCTATTAAACAAGAGTTAACTAGATCATGTTTGACAAAAGAAGCCCTCCAAAAGAACACATTTACCAATAATGGGATCCATTTCTTCAAAGGCAGCTGCCTTACTGTCAGCCTTCCTTAAAGACCTATATTGAAACAGTGGAACTTCTTACCACTTTCTGCTAGAGCAGCAGCCACTTCGTTGAGAGTGGAGTAGATGTTGCAGGCAGCCCATCGGCATTGTGCTCCCAGAGCACCCAGAGTTTCCATAAGCACCTGTGTTAAAGAACGGGTGATAAACAAGCCTGTGATAAACAATGGCTCGAGATTTAGTTTATCTTTTTGTTTTGTTTTCAGACAGGATCTCATGTACCCAGGCAACTCTTGTTTCCCCTACTTCCATTTCTCAAGAGTTGCAGTTATAGACTTGTGTCATCATTCCTGGCTAAGTTCTACCTTGACGATACACTACGTCAAGAATAAGTCAGGCCAGTGGTTTCTAAGCTTTATAGAACATCTTCAGTGTGTTCAACACAGGGCAGAGGAGTAAGTCCAGTAAGAGTCTATAACTTTCTCAGTAAGATTTCATTAAGAATTTCAGAGAAAATTTTTATCATTTAGGATACATGAAGCAAGAGTGTTCCAGGTAGGGCTGGAGATGCGACTCAGCTGGTAGAGTTTGCAGGAAGCCCTGGGTTGGATTTCCAGAGACTCTCCCCAGGGCTCTGATGTGGACTAGGTTTGTTTCATTTTTGGCAAAGGGAGGAAAAGGTAGCTGCATATGTAAAGGTAGAAAAAATTAGCTAATGCCTGGTGGTGGTGGTGCACACCTTTAATCCCAGCATTCAGGAAACAGAGGTAGGCCGATCTCTGTGAGTTCGAGGCCAGCCTTGTCTACAAAGTGAGTTCCAGGGCAGCCAGGGCTGTTTCACAGAGAAATTCTGTCTTGAAAAATCAAAAGAAAAATTAGCTAACATTTTAATTAAAGGTTAATTGTAGGAAAGTGTATAATTTGGAATTTTGTGTCGCTCCAACTAGACACAAGATTTCATACCCACAGGCAAGCTCCTTTCCAGGAGTACCTGTCTAAACTCACAAGGAAAACTAGTCAGGGGGCTGAGTGCACCACACTAGTCTCTCAGGGTAAGGAAAAGTCTTAAGTTACAGAAGTTTAGCAGTCATGTCTTCCAAGAGAGCCATGCAAAGACCCACGGCTTCTGGGGGAGACGAAAGCAAAACCGGGAGGGGCCACACAGACCACCCTGAGCCCAGTGTGGGATACACATTACAATCACTACTTATAATTCTAAACATCTATTACTTCTTTCTCCACAAAAGGCAAGAAAATATCTTCTGCCAGACATACTAAAAGAAGAAAAATCTGGCTGCTACAGAAGGCAGGGGGAAAGCCCTGCCTTCACAGAGGCCTGATTAATGCTGGCTGGATAAGAAGATTCAAGACTCTCATTTGCCACCACCAAGAAGGCTAGGGCAGGCCACTGAGAAGAGCCCTCTGTGGCACACTAGTGTTCAAGCAGCTGAAAGCTGAGGGCAAAGCAGACACTAGGGAAAGCCCTTTAGTAACTTACAATCAGCCTAAGTAACCTATAATCTCCAGCCCACTGCTGAGAAATGTGAAGCCTATAGTGCACAAAACAGTTCAAATTCCAGGCAATTCATAACTCTAATGGAAATGAAGACGTCATCACTCAAAGATTTCAAGACGTGAAAACAAAAGTTGGTAGTGTGTTTGCCTAGCATGCCTCAAGCACTGGATTTGATCTTCAGCAATACAGAAGTCACGTGTGGTGGCACATGTTCAAAATCCCAGCACCCAAGAGGAAGAGGCTGGAGAACTATAAGTTCAAGGTCATCCTTAGCTGTGGTGAGTTTAAGGCAGCTTGGTTTAAGTGAGACTGACTCAAAAAAAAAAAAAAACAACAACACAAAACTATGATAAAACATAACTATAACAACTGTCTATGCTATAAAAATATACACAGCATTGATAAACAGGGAATTTTAACAGAGAGAGATGGAAAGTATAAAAACAGGTCAATTACAAATGCCAGAAACAAACAAACAAAACACAACATAATAAAAAACCATATAACATACTGAGAATTCCTCCTGTCTCCAGACTGGGCACTTTCCAGACTGGGCACTTTCAAGGACACAGTCAGCCAACTTAAAGACAGAATAAAAATTACAAATTAAAATACAAAGAGAAAAGGAGAACAGGGAAAACAAAGCAAAACACACAAAAAACAAACAAACAAAAAACAGAACAGACCATCCAAGGAGAATGGGATGTTATCAGATGACTTGATACATGTCACTGAAATTCCCAAAAGCAAAAATGGAGAGAACAGGTCAAAAGAAATCCAATTAGAGTTGGATTGGACAATCATTTTCCAAAATTAATAAAAGAAGATCCAGGAACAATATCTGAGTAGTGCCAAGATCCACTGAAAGTTGCCCTTGTGAGTTCCTTTTAAAAAAATGACTGACTCCAAGGCTATGGACACACATGATAAGAGTAGATGAGTAGATCATCATGTACCAGAAGTAAGGAAACGCTCAAGGAATGAAAGAGAAGGCCAAAGACGACGGCTGGGAGACAACTCAGTCAGGAAAGTGCTAGCCTGGCAAGCACAAGGACCTGAGTTTTATCTCCAGAACCTTCCTGTCAAACAGAAACTAAAACAAACAAACAAGCAAAAACAAACCAAAGAAGCTGAAGATCCAAGATCCCTGAAGCTTGTTGACCAGCTAGCCTTGCCTACTTGGAGAGCATCAGGCTAGCGTATTTCAAAATACAAGGTGGATGGCTGCTAGGATTTTAGGAACTCAGGCATCCTTTTCCTCCGAGAACATGTAACTCAGCAAAGTCTCAGAGGAATGCAGAGGCTATCTGTTCCTAGGGAGCCGCTGCCTGCCCTTCATCTGCAAGGTGACCATGTACAAGTGTGCTGAAGGGGGGACAACTCCAAAGGGGACTGGGGTACTGGCAACACAGCTCAGTGACAGGAATACCTGTCCAGTCTGAAGAAAGCCCCAGCACTGAAAAACTAAGCAACCAACCAACCAACCAACCAACCAACCAACCAACCAACCAACCAACCAACCAGGTGTAGAGCACATGTCTGAAATCCCAGCACTCAGGAAGATGAGGCAGGAAAATCAGATGTTTGACTAATACCAACTTCATCTGCTCCATAGCAAGGTTAGCCCGGGCTGCATGAGACCTTGTCTGGAAACAAAAGGGCTGGAGAGATGGTTCAGTGGGTAAAGTGCTTGCTGTGCAGGCATGGGGACCCGAGTTCTGACCATGTGAAAGCTGGGTGCCACGGAATGCTTCTGCAAGCCCGGTGACGAGGAAATGGAGACAGGGGGATTTTTGGAGCTTGCTGGCCAGCTAGTCTAGCCAATCATTAGCTGCAGGTTCAGTGGGACCCTTTTCAAAAAATAACGTGTGATTGAAGAAGATACCCAATACCAACCTCTGGTCTCTATGAGGGAACTCATGCACCCATGCACGCACGCAGCAGAACAAAGAGATGAAGAGAGCACATGCACACTGGCTAACCTTTTGTATTGTGGCGTGTACCCATAACTCCAGCATCGGGATGTTGAGACAGGAGGATCATGAGTTCAAGACCAGCCTCAGCTACACAGCAAGTCTGAGGCCCACCTAGGCTACATAGACCCTGTCTCAGGAGAAGGGAGGGAGAAGGAAGATGACTTAGAGCTTAGAAGTCCCATAAAAGGTATTAGAGCTTTTATCAACACACCAATTTTCCTACTAGTCTCAATGTATTTGGAACTCAATACCAACTACATATTTTATGATGACTCAAAAGAAGACATACAGAGTACTGAGGGAGCACTTTCATTTGTCACAATGATTGTGGGGAGTGCTACTGTCCTTAGTGGACAGGGCCAGGGATCTGTAACAGTAAAGTATAAGACAGTCATGTACAATAAAAAAGGGCTGATCTAATAAAAACTTCAATTGTCCCAATGAAAGTTCACATGGTGAAAACCCTACTTGTAATTATTTGATCTTAGAAATTAATTCTACCTTATATACTGACAGAAGTATTTTTTATAGTTTCAATACAAATAATAGCTTTTTAGGATTGCAACAATTGTAAAAATGTAAAGAGAACGCTGACTGCCATTGTTCAAAGGTTGGAAAGAGTTGCTTTTTATTTCATAATGTCCTAAAATCAATTGAAAATGCTGCTCTAGTGCTCTGGACATAATCCCACACTGCCAGCAGGGCATGTAATACATGCCTACAATTCCGGCACTTGGGAGACAGAAGGATCAGGGATTCAAAGTTAGCCTTAGCTACAATAGCAAGTTAGAGGCCAGTATAGGCTACATGAGATACTGTCTCAAAGACAAAAAGAAGAGAAAAGAAAAGAAGAGAAGAGAAAAGGGAAGGGAAGGAAAGGAAAGGAGAAAGGAAAGGAAAGGAAAGGAGAAAGGAAAGGAAAGGAGAAAGGAAAGGAAAGGAAAGGAAAGGAAAGGAAAGGAAAGGAAAGGAAAGGAAAGGAAAGGAAAGGAAAGGAAAGGAAAGCAGGGGCTGTGGAGTTACTCAGCAGTTGAGAGCAGGGTTTGGTCTCAGCGCCCACAGACTGTGAGTGTCCCATGCTCTCTTTTGGCCTCTGCAGACACATGGTACACCTATATGCATGCAGGCAAAACACTCATTCACATAAGACAACCCCCACACGTACATTTCAATCTATATGTCAGTCCAGATATTGACTATTTTGTTATAGTGGTGCCTAAGGATTTACATATTGAAATATATTTTTATAAATTACTTTCTTTTTATTTCTCCCTATTTTAGGTTTAAAAAATTAAAGACTACATATAACATAGGTTATGGTATATATGAATTCTACCTCAGTATAACTCAGGGACACTGGAAGTATTTTTCTTATAAATAGAAAATAACTCTACTGAGTGTAGGAATCCCTGGTCTAAGCCAATCGTGGGGATTCTAGTCCCCTTTTCAGAACTAGGGGAGCAGAGGCCTGCACACATTCCATACATGGTACACCTACAGGAGACCCGCACACACTGCATACATGGTGACTTGCACACACTGCATACACGGTGACCTGCACACACTGCATACATGGAGACCTGCACACACTGCATACATGGAGACCTGCACACACTGCACATATGGAGATCTGTACACACTGCACACATGGAGACCTGCACACACCGCATACATGGTGACCTGTACACACTGCACACACGGAGACCTGCACACACTGCATACACAGAGACCTGCATACACTGCACACATGGAGACCTGCACACACTGCACACATTGAGACCTGCACACACTGCATACATGGTGACCTGCAAACACTGCATACACGGTGACCTGCACACACTGCATACATGGAGACCTGCACATATTGCATATATGGAGACCTGCACACACTGCATACATGGTGACCTGCACACACTGCATACATGATGACCTGCACATATTGCATATATAAAGACCTGCACACACTGCAGATACGGTGACCTGCACACACTGCATACATGGAGACCTGCACATATTGCATATATGGAGACCTGCACACACTGCATACATGGTGACCTGCACACACTGAATACATGATGACCTGCACATATTGCATATATAAAGACCTGCACACACTGCATACACGGTGACCTGCACACACTGCACACATAGAGACCTGCACACACTGCATACATGGTACATCAGCATGTCCTTCTCAGGGTGCCATGCTGGACTATCCTGCAGGATCTCAGCAAAGATTTTCTGGCTCTTGGGAGAGCAGAAGAAACAGTCCTTCTCCTCTTCTCGTCAGTTTGTGGTGACTGACTGCTGTAAGTGCCTTTCCATCAGCTTGAGGATGAAGTAGGCAAACTGTGGACACAGTTCCAAAGCAATCACAGGGATGACACAGGAGCCTTGTGTCCACAGCCTGCCTTCCAGATGGACATCACATAATGAATTCCTCGATGCTGAGAACGCTGGAATCAGTTTTCTCTCATCTGCTGCTGAAGGCAGACTCAGAGAGAGGTCACTGGAAAGGGCAGCGAGGAAATGTGTGGTACAGCAGTGGAAGCCTTCACTTGCTCACCTGGCAACTCATGCTCAAGCCTGAGCCTGGCTGTCCAAGCTGTATAAGCCTGGACAAATTACTAAAGTACACTGGGCCTCAGCTTCCTCGTTTATAAAATGGAAAAAGGAACACCGGCCTACATAGCATCACGTGGGTTAACGGAATCACACAGTCAGCCTGGGGCTGGGGGTGGCACGCAGTCAGTGGCTGGAACAATTACTAACTGTTACTAGGAGGAAAAGGACTCACAGCGGTCTGCGCAGTGATGTGTGTACAACCCACAATTTTGGCTCCAGCCAAGGGCTTTTCTCCTTGGGCTCTCTTCCTTAAGGCCATCAGGGCAGGCATCTCTGAAAAGGCCCAAAAGAAACACAGAATATTAAACAGAGAGAATGAGAGATAAGAGACTAAACAGAAAAATTACTCATTTAAGTTAAGACTGCTCCCTTGCTCAGCTTCTGTTAGATGAGGTTCCTCAATGTTCTCTGAGAGGCTTTCAGAGACAAACGTTCCCCAGCTTTAGTCTCTATCTGCCAATCCTTATCCAGGGCTCTCCTCTAAACGGTCAGAGTCCACCTTCCTCCCCACAGTGTGGCCTACACTCAGATTCCCTTAAAGATTCTTCAGGAGGTGGACATACTCACTCACACCTACAAATCCCAGCACAAGAGGACTGCCTCAAATGCAAGACCAGCCTAGGCTACAGAGTTGAGACCTTGTCTCAGATAGATTAATAAGCAAAAAATATGGTTTAGGACTGCACTGAAATTTGAATTTGACAACTCAGCTGACCCGGGATGTATTAATACGACAAAGTGACACAGGCGGGTAGAAAGGCATTTATTTCTTTACCTTGTTCAGCAATTTCGATTTCTCTGCGTCCAAACTCTGCCTGTTTGATGTTCTTGACACAGAAGTCACTGCTTCCTTTAGAGTTCTTTTGCTGCTTGTCCCGGGGGGATGTCTCATCGTCAGAGCTATCTGTATACGAAGCAGCTGGAACACAAAAAAAATCAATCAGGGAAAAGATTATCTTCCTCCAAAATTCCAAACCGTTGGGGCTTCACTAGTCATTAGCGCCACACACATTAGCACCGCTAGGAAGTTCCTTAATGAAACATGGAGTTGTACCACTCATCGCCTATGCAAGGTGCTCTCAACACTTAGGGCAGCTGAGAGAGCTGCGAAAGGCATTCTCCCTGGGAAGCATTCATTTGGGATCTAGCGCTAACTTTTCCTTTGGAACACAGAGAGGTGTAATACTTGATTGAATATGCAAAGAGAGGGAAGTTGCCCCACAAAAGCCACAGGTTAAAGTTCCTAAGCAAGCCAGTCATTAACCCACGGATTTCTAGCCTCATAACACCCCTCTGCCTGCTGCTTAAATGCCTGAAGTAATTTGCTTTGTAGTACAATAACTGCACAGATAAGACCTAAAAAACAAGAAACTCATGGGAAAGTAATTAAGAGCCACACAAAAGGAATTTGTCTGACATAACAGAGCTGTGTTCCTCAGGACTGGCTCTCATGAGGCAGAACTATTCTTGCAGATCCAATTAGACACTGACAATTCAATGCACTATCCTTCTTGACTAGCCTCTGTAAGAGTCCTTGGTGTTTGAGAGTCCCAAAGTAGCAAATATCCTCTTTTGGTGCATTTAAGGCCCTGAAGACTAATCCACTAGCAACACACACTATATATAGCAGTGGTTCTCAACCTTCCGAATGCCGGTTACAGTTCCCCATGTTGTGGTGACCCCAACCATAAAATTATTTCGTTTCTACTTCATAACTATAATTTTGCTACCCTTATGAATTGGAATGTAAATACCTGTGTTTTCCAATGGTCTTAGGAGGTCCCTGTGGAAGAGTCATTTAACCCCCAAAAGGGTCACAATCCATAGATTGAAAACCACTGCACTACAAGATAAAAGGGCCACACTTGATTGTGGCCAACAGGCAGTCACTGCTACTGAATTCACAGCCTTAGTGGAGATCTTTTTAGTCTTTATATTTGCTAATCATTCGCTAGATGATCTGATGCAATTTCTGTCGCAAAATTTTTTTTTAACACGACAGTTCTTCCTGATGCTTGCAGTTTGGGGAGGACGGAGGATATAAAACTTGGTCTACAGAGCGTTTACATCTCTCTGTGCAGTTAGCACTGCCATCACTTTAGGGGAGAAAGTTGCACACACTCAGAGCTCCTGTGGGCCTGGTGCTCTGATCCACTTAGATCTAGAGCATTAGGGCATTTCTGAGATTTCTTAGCTGGGGGTCTATCTGGGCGGGGGTGGAGGGCGGGACTGTAAAAGGCAAGTCCGACCTTGCCCAGTTAATCAGGCACAGTGCTGCATACCGTGGGGTCAGCAGGGGCTAGAGGATCTCTCTCTCTCTCTCTCTGGAAAGCTGCCTTAGAGCAAAGTCCTAACAGGAGGGCACAGGAATGAACAGGCACACCAGGGGAGGCGAAGGAATTGGTAAAGCCCCAAAGGGACTTTTGTTCTTACAAGGAACTAATCTGCACAAAACTTTCTGGTTCCTCTCTTAGGGTTAGAAAGCTCAAAGTACTTTTGGCAACAGAGCTAGAAAGTCTGTTTCATCAGTCAGTATTCGATATGGCTTAGGAATTGCAGGCTTTAAGAGACCACCTTCTCTACCTGAGAGAAAATGGTAACAGCTTCTCCATTCCAGATCCAGCTTTACAAGGAAGTTGAATTTGAAAAAGGAGTTGAAAAAGTGGTGGGATTAAAGGTGGGCGCCATGACAACTTGGCTTCAGTTTTTGTTGTTGGCCTTTTGTTTCCAATTTAAATAACAAACCAGTTACATTGTTTTCTAATGCTAAAGCTGAGAGAGCTGTTATTTTGCTTTGTTTTCAAATGGGGTCTCGCTATGTAGCTCTGACTATCTTAGAACTTGCTCTGTAGACTAGGCTGACCTCAAACTCACAAAGATCCACCTGTCTCTGCCTTCAGGTGCTTGAAGTATGTGTACCACCATGTCCAGTTTTACCTTCTTAATATCAGTCAGCTAATACCCCCCCTTTTTTTCTGAGACAAAGGGTTTTTTCCAAAGTTGGTAAGTACAAAAGGCAGCAACTGTCCTACGCTGCATTGTTATGTGGCTGCAACAGGGACAGACCCAGGTGAAGAGAAGGGTCTCTGTGAACATGGTGGAAACTTTATTCAACTAATGTGACATGCATGTATTTAGTTTGAACACACTCATTTTTTTGCCACTTTGTTTTTCGATAATGCATGCTATGTAGTCCAGACTAGCCTGGACTACAGTAGACTATGTAGCACAGTCTGGCCTTGATTTGCCTGTACTGTATTTTGAACAGTTCCTATCCATATCTGTAGCCATCAGCATACTCTGAAGCTCAGTTACCAGCAACAAGGCGGAGGGGCAGTATTGGTGGTACAGGGGTGAGCATGGCTGCCTTCCACAGAGGAAAACGTCACTTACCTACCGGAGGATAGGACCTCAGATCCAGATTCATCTCCAGTTTACTAGACAACCAATTTTCAATTATCCTACTATAAAATGGGTGATACAGTAGACCCCCCCCCCTTCCACAGGCTCATCTTTTCACTGAACTACCACGGATCTTACGAGAAAAAAGAGATAATATCCAAAATGTTTCTGTTTTTAGGCAGAAAAGATGACTACCTAAAAAGTACAATATGATTTTTGCCATGGGGTGGTCTTGTTTCGTTTTCAAGACCCAAAGCATAACTTGATGAACCACTGGCACACAGTTGGTCTCACTGCACATATGCATGCCTGTTCTACGGCCCACGCCTGATCTACCATTATCTCCCAGCACCTGTGAGGCTGTGAGCGCTTGTTAGGAGGCAGTTAGAATTCTGATTGAATTAGACTTACTACATTAACTGAAGTCAGGCAGTTCCTCTTGGGCCCAATCTATTTATTTGTTAAAGGAAATAACAGTAGGGACCTGTGTTTGAATGGATTGTACTAATGGATGACTTGAGAAATATATGAAAGGTTACGTTAGCAACCCAACACAAACAAAATTTTATTATTTGGAAAAAAATCTTAAAATCTCTCAAAATGTCTAAGTGCCAATTATAAGTACAGCACTTCATTCTTTCTCATCTGTAATCAATTCACTTATAAAGATAACATTTTCATAAATGTATCACTGAGAATGATCTAAATCTGAAGAAGAAAAGGTTATTCTTTTCATCTGCTTTCATGGTTGTTTTTTTTTTTTTTTTTTTTTGCTTAGGAGGTTTTCATATTTTAAAAGTGCCGCCAAGAGGCAGAGATGTACAGATCTCTGTGAGTTTTGAGGCCAGTCTTATCTACACAGGAAGTTCTAAGACAGCCAGGACATGTAGAGAGACCGTCTTGAAAAAAAATATAAATAAGTAAATAAAATAAGAAGTACTGAGCTCATGAAAATAATACTTCTTAGAGACTAGGACAGAAAATATAATGACTACTACATGCCTAGGCAATATTTCTGAAAACATAATCTAGAATGTATTCAGATGAGCATAACTGGGTTAGTAGACTATCCTCAAAGACAGGGCTAAAAACGGTGAATTTTATTTCTAAGTAAAACATTTAAGTACTAGAGATTATATAGGGCTTAAGCTTGCCAGGTGAGCCTGTCATTTAAAAGCTCTCTGAGGCCAGATGGACATGGATGACAATTCCAGCACCCACCAGATCATATTTCCACTTTTGTCTCTAAAACTAGGGTGGTTAGATTCCCTGATCCTGAATTAAAATCTTTCGAAGGATATATTAAGCTGACAACTTTTTTGTGTGTTGTTTTTTGTTTTTCAAGACAGGCTTTCTCTGTGTAATAGCCCTAGCTGTCCTGGAACTTGCTCTGCAGACCAGGCTGACCTCGAACTCACAGAAATCTGCCTGCCTCTGCCTCCTGAGTGCTGGGATCAAAAGTGTGTGCCACAGAAAATATTGGTATCAATTATGATCCAAATACTGTTTGATGTGCTAGAGACACACCGGTGACAGAGACAGGTAAGTCTCCTATGCTCAATGAATACCTATTTGTATTTGTGCATGCATATATAGGGGCATAAAACAAACACATATGATACTCTTAAAAAATAAATAATGATGGTGTCTTAGGGTTACTATTGCTGTGACCAAAATCAAGTTGGGGAGGACAGGGTTTACTTGGCTTCCTCTTCCACATCACTGTGCATCATCAAAGGAAGTCAGGGCAGGATCCTGGAGCCAGCAGCTGATAAGCGGCCATAAACGGATGCTGCCTCTGTTCTGGCTTGCTCATTATGGCTTACTCAGCCTGCTTTCTTATGCACAACCCACAATGGGCTGGGCCCTCCCCCATCAATCACTAATTAAGAATGATTGGCCTTGCTTGGATAGATGGGCGGTCTGTTACAGATACCAATCAACCTTGACAGGGGGTTACGGCAGCTTAGCAACTCACCTGAGCTATAGCTGTCAGTAGATGACTGAGAGATGGAACGTGACAGAGATCGACGTCCAATTTTGGTGGGACGCTTGTTGAATTCCTGCTTCTGGTCAGCAAATTGGATCTGCTAAGAAAAAGAGCCCTCGTTATAGAAAGGAAAAGAACTTTAGTTATACTTAGAGACACCATGACACCATGACCAAGGCAACTCTTATAAGAGAAAGCATGTTATTGGGGACTTGCTTTCAGTTTTGGAGGTTTCATCCATTATTATCATGATGATAATGGCATGGCAGCATGTACGCAAACACTAGAGTAGTAGCTAAGATTACATCCTGATCCATAGGCAGAGAGAACTGGGCCTAGCATGGGATTTTGAAAGCCCACCCACAGTGCCGTACTTCCTCCAACAAGGTCACACCCCCTAACTCTCAAATAGCTCCAACTCCCCGATGACTACACATTCAAATATATGAGCCTTTGGGGACCATTCTCATTCAAACCACCACATTACATATGAAGAGAACACATCTATTTTGAGGAAGCAATTCATTCACAGCTTGTCACCTTCAATGGAGTTTATTTGCTTAAACAAACCCATATTTGGAATACGAGGACTCTTGAGGGCTGAGAATGTGGCTCAGTTGGTAGCACGCTTTCCTGGAATGCACCAAGAGCTTGATACAGTTTCTAGCACTGCATGTGCTGGGCGTGCTAGATAGAGCAGTGGTGGCAAACCCCGGCAATTCCAGGAGGCAGGAGAATCAGATGTTCAAAGTCATGCTCAACTACAGGGAGTCTGAGCCAAGACCCTGTCCCCTCCTTCCCCTCAAAAAAGTTGGAGCATATAGCTCAAATACAGAGTGCTTTCTTACTATGCAAAGGCTTGGAGTGGATCCCAGTACTGGGAAGGGTGGGTGGAGTGGGGGGGGGGCTTCTTTGGAGCTGAGTATGGTAGCATACTCCTGTAATCCCAGCACACAGAGGCCAAGGCAGAAGGAACACAAGGAGTTCAAAGCTAGCCTGGGATGCATGCACAGTGAAAACTCTTGTCTCTAAAAGCAATAAAACAAACAAACAAAAGAGAACTTTTTTGGAAGAAGAATAATTTTACATTCTTCACCAATTTCTATCAAAATTAAGTCTTTGGTTTAACGACTATATGCTTAGTACATTATAACTGTGACACAGAAAGGAGCAGTATTATGATTAAATTAAATTTTGGGGAAGGTAAGTCATATTCAAAATCACTTTCTATTGTTTCACCAAAAATGCAAAGCTGGAAAAAAAGCCTTTAAAATTCTCTGTATGCCCACAGATCTAGATGAGAAAACAGAAAGGTATAAAAAGACAGATGGACTTGCCTCGAGCATCTCAGTGTGGCATGCTAATTTTTTAAAAAGGTTTTCATGAATGGCTGTACCATTCATAAGCTTCTTGATGTTGGTCAAGATGATTTTGTGAGCTTCGTTTTCCCATAAATACAAGTACTCCAACCCAGGTTTTGGAGAAGGTTGTATGACACAGTGCATGGTCTAACATGGCAGATTTGATAGCAACAACTCCTCCCCTACAGCAGGTAACCATTTAAATGCTAAGGATTTTCTAAGATGTTAGCTCTTTAGATACAGTAAATAAACTAATTTTTAATGTCTAGCATCATAAAATACCTTAAAAGCCATAAACTTGATTATTATCAATGACTAGAGATGTGGGAGGAGTGGATGATTGGACTGATTACATACTCAAATCATACTCTGTAGGTTATATTTGAAAAATATCTGATGATGGGGAATGTCCTTCTGTATATATGTTTCTCTTATTGGTTGATGAATAAAACACTGTTTGGCCAATAGAGGCAGGAAGACAGTTGGGACTAAGAGACGAGGAGAATTCTGAGAAAGGTAGGCCGAGACAGACTGAAAGGTGACACCATGTAGAGAATGGGGAAGATAGGATGCCCCAGGCATTCTCTGGTAAGATAAGGCCATGTAGAAATACATAGATTAGTAGTTATGGGTTAATAATTAAGACAGAGCTAGCCAATAAGAAGCCCTAGCCATCAGCCAACAGTTTATGAATTAGTATACATCTCTGCATGCTTATTTGGGGCTGAAAGGCAGCAGGACCTAGAGGGACAAGAAACTCCAGTAACATATCTGATAGCGACTTTCTTGGTAATTTTATCTATGTCTCCTACAGTCGACAGTTGTTGATGGTACTTTACCAATCAAAGCTCCTATCACTCACTTTATTAGTAAGTTTTTCCTAACCAAACATTTACCCAGTTGCTTAGATGATTCTTCTGGATCCAAAGTGGCATAGAGGAAAGTTTACAGAAAAAAAAATCAAAGACTTGACAACTGACTAACTTTTATGATAAACTTTTATGGGCAGAAATCAGAAGGAAATCAGGGGCTACAGTTCCTGCATTAGAGGTAACTCTTGATTCACTGTGCACTGAGACAAGGGGACTAATGCCAAAATGAAAGCTTAGCACTCACTGCCTCTGAGGAAATGTACAGAGCACTTCCACAGCTATAACAAAAAAATAAATAAAGCCTGCACAGTGGTTCAGAGCTTGCAAATTGCTTTCATTGTAATAGGGCTATTTATTGGGTTAGGAGCTCATTGCAAAATGGAAAGTGACAAGTTTGATTATTTTGCTGAAGTGCCAATTTATTCCCAAAGGATAAAGCGCCCTTTCTATGCACTCCCCAGGAGGCCCATGAGTCTCTATGTGCTTCTAGCACAGCACTCATCCCACTGTCTTCCTTTCTGTGCTCTGTAAGCTTACGGATTACAGGCTCCATGTGGGCTGATGTCTATTCACCTTTATATTCTCGGGCACACACAGATACCTGCCACACCACATCCTATGCACCCAATCATACGCAGAATCAAGGAGCCGGGAGGAGCTTGTTCTATCTTCATTGTCTGCATTTCAGGGAATATTAGTAATCACAGTAAGCATTAAGTCTGCACAGAGTAATTTTAAGGGTTAACAAAACTGGCAAGGAAACGGTGCAGAAGTGCACAGAAGTCAGGTCCAAAGGCTGGCATTCAGTTCATCAGCCTGGTTCAAGATAATCCATGCCTTCATTCTTTTTCAGAGGCCCATTAAGGAAAAGGAGTGAAGGTCTTTCCAAAAACCACAGTAAGGCGGTGTGTTCAGCAGTGACCCCTTATTAAAAAGTCTAAAAGGATAACTCTCACCTCAGATTTGCAACACTGCCTCCCTACGCCAACCACACACACTGACATAACAGCTACACGCATGTGCACATGGACACGCACGTGTACATATCTACCACTAGAGGAGGGCAGTCGCTTCCTCTGAGGTACCCCTACTTAGCCCAGTAACATTAAGTCTCTCAGAAACACAGCTGCTTTGTCACTTCAAGTGTGTCATGAAGCTGAACTCCTTGTCCTACTGTCTTTCACTTGTTGTAATCCCTTCACCAACTTCGGCTCTTTGGGCTCTAAGGAAATAGGCTGTGCATAGAAAAACGGGTCTTGCTAATTTCTCAGTAAATTCAATGCCCTGCCTCCCAGGTTATTAATATACAAGAACATTAGTGAGAAACCATTTAATAAAGTGAGTTACATGAATTCCTAGTAAATAAGTGTTTACTTTTCACCGATAACCAAAACATGAGTTAAATGAGGCATCTCCAGTGATTTCATCAGTACCATTCCAGTCCATCCTGTAAAGCAATGACATACCCAGCCAGTTAAGGTGCCTTGGCAGAATCTACCAAGATTTACCTAACTTTCCTACCTCGTCAGAAACCAGAGTCCTTGCAGGCACCGCTCCTCTCCTACCTCAGCACCGCCTAACATCAAGGCTGGGGAGGAAAGAGGCTGGCAGGAATAGGAAGCTCACCGCACGCCAGAGGGAAGGCTGGAGCCGCACAGGAGGGGAAGGAGAGGACACGCAGCTTGCCTTGGACAGTAATGGCCGCAGCAGCAGCAAGACTGGCAAACAGGAGCTTAGCCTCACCTGGGCTTTAATCCCAGAGTTGCTATTGACAATGTATTTCTTCTTGCTGCTCAGCATACTGACGCTACCAGCCAGTAGACTGTGTCATTACCGGCAGTAGGCCACCTCTTTGGTTCAAGGACCCTTGTGGTCAGGTTTTAAACTTTCCTCATCAGCAATTCTGTTGGCTCTGGTTCCAGCTCGCTACTATTTTTTTTTTTTCTCTTTTGAGGGGGGTGGCTGTCTCTGAAGCAGCTCAAACAACCCTTTCGGCTGTAGAGCAGGATTTAATAAGGCAGTTCTGTTACTGGCTCATCAGCCATTCCCAATTCTGGATGTTTTGCTTTATTATTATTTTTCCTAACACATCATTACACAGCTCCTTTGACCTCTAAATCTTAACAAGTCCCTAGACAAGGCCCAACATACATGCTTACATCAATGGCTAATTTACATAACCCGTGCACTTTTTCTGCTATAATTAACTTGCTAATTAGGTTCCCTTTTAAGTTTACCTCCTCCTTTTCTATGTCAGATGATTTTAGTTAGTCTCATCTCATTAGAAGAAAATTAACTACAGAGTCACTGAAACAACGAGGGAATTTATAGAGAGAAGAAAAAGGCATTAATGGTACTAAGTGGTCAGGCAACCCCATTCTATATATACTCTGCCCTTGGGTTAGCCAGGCAGGGGACACTAGATCCAGCTCTGTCACCAAGGAAATCAACTTTCTCATTTTATTTATTTATTGTTTTACTCTAGACTCTTTCCTTCTTTCCTTAATGCTTATTTGCATATTTATTTAGACACAGAATCTGACCATGCAGTTCATACTGGCCCTGGGACTTGAGGATCCTCCTGTCTCAGCTTTCCAAAGACGTCACCACGCCTGACTTTGCATATTTTCTATACAGATTTTTTTACATTCAGTACCTAGTTTTAATCTCAAGACTGATGCTTATTTAGTATTGAGTGATCCATTCACTTTTTTCTTATTTGAAAAAAAAGCATATTTGGGGGACTAGGGAGATGGCTCAGTGGGTTAGGTGCCCTTGCTTTGCAAGCATGGGACCTGAGTTGGAATGCTAAGGACCGGTGTAAAATGTTGGGCATGGCTGTGTGCACTCGTTACTCTGGGAGC